CTCTTTTCTCTCAGACTCTCATCTGCACTTTTGTTAATCTTCACGAAAGCTTCCAAAGACTTTTGGATGGGCCCTCCTTCCAAGTACTCTGGTTTGTGTTTCATCATCTCTCTTTTAGACAGAAAATAGATATAGGAGAGGAAAAGAAAATAGTCTTCTTGGCCTTCCAAGACATTCAATTTCGATGCGCGAAAAAGATATCTAGCGCACTAGCATAACATATCCTTCTACTCGGTTTCTTCTTCTTTTTTCTTCTTCTGGTGACCCCAAATATTCGCTCATTCCGAAACGAATTCCACCACAACATCAAATCAAGGGAAGAAAATTAAACAGAGGATGTTCATTTTTTCGTGTGTTTCTGTGTATTTGTTTAGAGAAAAATAGTTGGATTCATAAGATGGAGAGGAAATAAAATCCGAGACTAGAACACAAAATTTTCTAATTCTCACATATCTTAGATGAGAATTCTGGGAGGAGGAAGTGAGAAAAAGTTCTAACATAATCCATCCGCATTTTTGAATAAATAGAAGGTTTCAAATATGATTTTATTAAGTGTGAAATTAAATATTTGGTTTGCAAACATAAAAATTGACTAATTTTACAATGGGATAAAAAGCATACAATGAATTTTTCATCTATCTAAGAGAAATGGTTACCTAAAAACTGTTCAATTATCCTATCTTTTTTCACACGGCTGGAGTTGGGATTTTGATGCGATTCTGATAGACTTCTAGCCTCCGAACCTCAGCTTCTAAATTTAGTCGAAGTTGTTTCTCAGACTATTCTCAAAAATATTTTTTCTAGGATTTTAATCAGTTCACTTCCGATTGCGAATACCTACAATTTCTTTTCCCAAAGTGTTCATCATGATTTACTATTGTTTATATAATTCAAAATGCGAGTTGCTAGCTCTTATTTCTCAAATTACAGAGTTCGTCATAAACATCGATCATGTGAACGTTCTAATTTTGTTCATTCAAAGGAATTTGGATATCGTGATGTAGTCTTGATTGCAGTTCCTGTGCTATTGTTGAGCTTTCTTAAATCTCTAATTAGAAAAAAAATGACCTGAACAATTTGCACTTCTATTGATTTTATTGCAAGTATGCGCATTTTGACAATTTGTTTTTACTGTTTTTGTTTACTCATTTCCCTTCCCCAAAGAGTTTGAAATCTGGTTATAAATGCTCTCCGGGTGTCACCTTCCTTTTTTGGCCAGCCCTTATTTTTCTTTTTTTAGTAACATTCAGCTTCTTTTTTCATCCGCATCCATCCAACATCATCATTTCAACCGATTAGAATACACCCCACTCTTTCATACGCGTCCTCCATCCTTTTTCCGTTTTTTTTGCTCTCGCTCTCGACCCCCGTACTCTAATCCATTCTCTATGACCCACACCAACGACCACAAATCCATTTAGGCAGTGCTTTCAATGAAATTCGCTTCATTAATGGATAAAAACGAAGATTCCAACAGCGAGCTCGACGATAGTGGAATCGGATTGGTAAAATTTTGCATTTTTAAAAGAATATGGATTGTGATATTTGAGTCTGAGACGGATTAATTTGCGCTTCTCTTTTCTTATGAAGCACAACATTTTACATCATATTTTATAAAAGTGCCTAATAATCCAACTATTTCTTTCTTTTGTTCCTTCTGTCAAAACCAAAAAAAAAAAACAGCGGAACGTGCGAATAAACCGTCGACAATATGAAACTAGTAGTATTGTAGGGACTGGACACCACCACAACTACCTCTTATTCTCCGCAGTCTTCTACTTCCTCACATACTGCTACTACTTCTGCTACACGGTCAAAAGTTTTACGAAATCGTGACACCGGGAAAAGTAACTATCAGAACAACATTCTTAAACAATCTACCGGTAGGAAGCATTTGGTGGCAATGGCACGCAAAGCGGTGAAGGTGAGTTGTCGAACTCTGTTTAAAAAATTGGGAGTATGTAGGTATATCACACTAGGGTTACTGTAGAGTTCTAAAAATAGTCAAATTTATCAATTTTTTAATTTACGTTCTAACCTTTTGAAACATGTTTTTACACTCCTAGTGTATTAAAAATCTGAACTTTCACACGTTGTGTATTTAAAAATCTATAAAACCACAGAACTCTGATAACTTTTTGTTGAAAAGCCAATCCTTCTCCACTTTTTAATTGGATCAAGTTGACCGATTTTTTTGGAGTTGACCGAGACCAAGAATGTACTTTTTCATGTTATTTTATTTTTTGATTACAAAAAAGAGTTAGTGCTCAAAAGACTATATGCCAATGTCTGCATTCCTGATGTTCCAAAAAATTTCCTTAGAAAGCCCTTAAAAATATATTGAGATCCTCTCTTGCTCTAAGAAAAAAACCTACAAACATCCGAAAACAAAATTGGCTCTTATTTTCTGAAAAGACAACACCACGAGAGACGAAAAAAGGAAATCTGTAAATGCTATTTCCATAGCCTGCAATTTTCTCTAAATTTTCTTGTCAGCAGTCCTCCTCATCCATTTTCTTTTATTTTTCAACCAAATACAGTAATCTTATTGTTACGCATTTGAAAACAACCATAAAAGTGTTGTTTTGTGTGGTCTGTTCCACTATTTCATTTTCTTTCCAGAAACCTTGAACATTTAACTTGACTTTACCAGTTGTTAAAGAAACTGGTGTCCATAGAGATGACGTGCGGTTCGATTTCTCGACACTGTCACGTTTGCCAAATTTTCCTTGTATCTATTTTTCCACGTGGTCAACGATAAAGGTCACGTTCCCCGCCACATAAAATGGTTTAGACCCTTTAAAAGGCCCCTGGGAAAGGAATTTGCAACGTGTGGTAATGGTGTTCTTCGTTGTCTCTTTTTTTCGAGACTGCAACTATCCATTTTCTTTTCCATCAACAAAATAATGGACCTTATTGTCACTTCTTTCCTGTGTGCGCAATAATCTGTTCCGATTGAGTTCATTTTTTAGTGAATTAATTAATTTATTTGTATGAAAAGATTCTAATTCAAAATTGAAGACCCCGGAAATGATGAAAAAAGTTTCTAAAGACGAGAAGTGACATTTGAAAAAAAAATTAGAAAAAAAAAACAGTAATGAGTCATTTTTCTAAAAGCTTTTGTGTTCATGTTCTTCCTTCAATCATCAAAAAATTATGCGTCAAGAGAAACGCTCCGCCAGCATTCCACAGATTTTGATGAATTACCAACTTGATCAGGAAGAACATGCCGAAACCTTTCGCCAATTTCATGCGTCACTCGGTTTCCTTCATTATTCGCCAAAGCTCTCCTCAATTTTCCTTCTATCCTGCTCAAAATTACCACCATTACTTCTGCGCTCTAAACTGAAATACTACTTCTTATATTTTACTTTGTGAATATAACTTTCATTGGGTTTTTTACTTCTTTGTACATTCCTTTTCTTGCAAAAAAGAAAACTTTTCCCTCAGATTAGAAATGTATGAGAGTTTTGGATGTTCTACGGAATGAGTTCATAGTAAAATAGAGGGAGAAAGTGCAACTACCGCCGCCAGCTCTTTTCATGCGTTTTCCATGCTCTATTTTTAGTTTTGGCAGTATCGGCCCTTGTCAAACAATGAATTTTGGGAATGGTTGCAAACAAGTGACCAAAAAACTCTTGTTAGTTTAGCGCTGAAAAAAGGGGACGAGAGCAAATTCGTTAATAAAACTCTAAACTGCTGCCGATTCTGTGCAGTTGTTAGTTGATTGAATTTTTCCAACTTTCCCTAGTGTCTGCAAATTCATCAAACCAAAACTCGAAACGATCTGGTTTCCCTTTTCCTCAATTTTCCAATCTTCCTCTTCTCTCCTTGATTTGATCTGACAGTTTATCTCTAGAAAATTCTCTGGAATTTCTGCTCATATGATTGATGGTAAAAAACATTCCGAGCCGTAGACTTTGTTTAAAAAACATTGAGAACGTCGTGAGCTCCGCCCCTTTCCCTCCTCCTCCTCCTCTTCCAATTTTTTTTTCATCTTGTGCTTTGTTTGTTTATACTGGTGCAAGTACTCACATTACAATCTCAAACTCATTCACCAAAACTTTCTCGATTTCCAAGAAAAATTCATTTTCATTCCTCGGTTTCGTTCGATGACCTCACTTTTCTGGCGGGCGTTTCTCATGAGCACTCTGCCCAAATTCAATCGTCCCAATAGGATGTTCCTGAATGTTTTTTTGCAAACCACCCTGCAAATCAGTGCCACCCCACAAGTAGTTCCCAAGGAAATTGAACGTTTTCCTCTATTTTTTTTCTGTAGAATAATGAAAAAAAAGTGATTGTTTGGGCAGGCAAGGGTTTCACCTCTTTCTTAGGTTTCTTTCTTTGGTTTCAATCACAACTAGGTTTCCAATTTTCATTTCGAACTTAAGAAAAATTTTGAGTTGTACAAAACTGGAAAGTATTCATTGCTGACCAAAATCAAAACCGGTTGCAAACTTTTTTTCTCGAAAAAAAATTTAATCAAACAAGTTCTGGAACATTTTACGAAATTTTGTCATTGGGCTAATTAAATCAGTCATTTTTTCCGTCAGATGACGTAACTGGTCTGATTGCTAGAAGTCCTTGATACCTCTTGGGCACTAAAACAACAATAAAACGGTCTGTGTTGTCACCAAGGTGTCTTTTTTATATTTCGGAGGGAAAAACTGCATTAAGAACAAAACCAAATGACATCTTATTTTCTTATTTTTGTGACCACCCGACCCCCGTCAATTAATTGGATACGGTACTTGTTCGTCCCGTTCCTCTCCATAAAAAATGATTCGCTGAACATCATAAAATTGAATGGACTAAGAAACGATGAGGTGTTGAGATCAGCTGCTACTATTTCCTTCTTTTTTGATGAAACATCGTAAAAGAAATCTTTCACCTGCACGTCGTTGCCTCAAACTGCCGTCATTTTTCTCAACATTCTAATTCCAATGTTTAATTCCTCAACTTTTACACTATTCCAGAAAGCCGCCAAAACGCGTCAAAAAATGGAGAACGCCCAGGCTCGTCGCCAACGCCATATACAGCTCATTGAGCAACTTTGCAAAGAAGAAAATAATGGGGAGGAGAAAAATACCACGACCGAGACCAAGAAGGAAGAATTCGAGGAACCACCACCACGTCCGCCAACTAGACGATGGTAAGTGCCCCGCGGAAATTAGTTGTTTTACGTATGACGAGATGATGTGTGACAAAAAGTATATGCGAGATGGATGGTTAGAACTAAAAGGGTCAAGTAAAACAACAAATTCTGAATTGAATTTTGAATTAATACTGAAACGACGTTAGTTTTTGATATAGGAAAAGATGAAACAACTTATATCACAAACTATAGCAAACTCAAAAGTATGACATATGTGCAATAATTATATGTATTTTAGCATGTTCTACCGCGAGGACACAGATGTTGCAAAAATTCTCCGCTCCAAACAACTATAATCGGCCCCGGATCTCATCTACGTGCCACTCAAGATGCCAAAACTACAACAAATCATAGACACATTTTCTCCTCGATTTGGTCGCTTTTTATTCTCATTCCAAAGGCCTATCACCCATTCTGCATTTTCTTCTTAATCTCGATTTTCTTATCTTAATGTGAATCTGAAGCCGGCTCTGGTTAAATTTCAAATATCAAACGAAACCCATAAAACCTAACTTAAAAAATATTCCCTCATTTTCTATCATTCTCATGTTTTTAAAGTAACATCATAATCGTAAGAAAACATCATACAACAAATCCCCGTTTTTCTAATTTCCCAACTGTTTTCGTATCTCTGCAATTTTGCGTTTTCGTGTAGATTTTCCTTTTTTGATAACTGTGATTTTAAAAAGTGTTTCGGTATGATCCCTATCACATTAATTCTACAAAAAGCCTCCTATTATTTTACATTCTCTCTTTATTTGATTCCTTCCTTTCTACATGCTTTATCATTAATTTTCAAAAAATAGTTTGAGCAATATAATCTATGCCCTTAAAATGATTTTCAAATAGAACTTCAAGAAAAGTTTTGTACATTGATGATGATATGAAGCAGGTGGAGTTTGTATGCATCCAGACAAGGTATAACACAGAGAACGAAAATCTTATTCTAGAACGAATAATGTGCTGTGTGCAGTTTTTTCTCGGAAACAATTCAAATTTTATGAAAATCTATGAATACGCGGATTAGGTAGTATGGTTTTGGCAGTATGGTCGCAACTGATAACGGACCACATATTAGAACTACATATAATGTTCTAATATTCGAAGAGCAACTATAAAAGCAGACAAAAGAATATTTTTCTTGAGAAACGTGAACTCGCAATGAATAGATCTTAGGTACAGCGCCGCTACCGGCTGCCGACATGCACATGCTCAGCGCGATTTCGTTCTCCGAACTGTTCCCCAAAATTTTAGTTGTCTCGCCTCCTTTATGGGGTTATTCAGAGAGAAGCAAATCAGGCTTGTTCACACGGCCAGCGATTAAGGAGCCCAAAAATTGAAGGCGCATGGAGTTCCCTGCTTGGGTCTCGCTTAGACTGGTCGTGTAGCTCCACGAGGATAAGACACGGCCTAGAAAACCTCAGCAATCGGCCCCAGCAAATTGCTGGTTTTCTGCATAAAGAAAAAATAAGCAATTTGCTGATTTGCTTCTCTCTGAATAACCCCATTAAATAAATATAAAACATTTCCTTTCTTCAATTCAATAAATGGGGATCGCTCTGCGATCCCAAAAAAGCCTTCAGGTAAATTTCAGAACCATTTAGTACAATTTCGTAAGTTTTCGTTTCTCAATCTCTGATTGACGAATTTGGAATTTTGAAAACTCATATCTTTTCCACTATTCCGATAAATTCTTATCATGTTTACCTCTTCCTCCCTGCATCATTTGAATAAATCCACCTGGTGATTCCGCCGATATATGCCCCATATCTGTCAATTAGTCACCTCGATTTGTGTCATTCGATTCTATCACGTATGATCATACATTCATATTCAGAATTTGAATATAATTTCTCATTCTGGTTTTTCAGTTCTATTGAAAATGTCATTATTAATAAAGAAGTATTAAAAGTAAACATCTCAATTTATTTGAATATGTAAATGATTGCTTCGATATTTTGACTTCTAGTTCTGACTTTTTTACAACACATCTAATTATTTTTAATAAAATTACAGTGAGCATGTCGGAGGACACCTACCGTAGTTCCATAACTTCTCGACCATCATTTAACAGACTTTCTACATCCAGCACTCAGAACTATGGAACCCCAGGATCTGGAAGCCGTGTTCTCAAAATCGTCACTGAGATGTCGTCGTCATCAGTAGCCAGTGGCCTCTCTCCATACGGCCAGAATGCTGCTTCAACAATTCGTGACAACCGTGAACGTGAGAAAAAAGAGATTATGGAGTTGAACGACCGTCTTGCTGGATACATTGAAAAGGGCCGATTCTTGGAAGGTCAGAACAGAAGGTTGGAAGCTGATTTGCGAATGCTTCAAGGAAGATTTGGAAAGAGAACTGGATCTGTCAAGGTGATGTATGAGCTAGAGATCACAACTGCACAGACAGTTGTTAAACAGACGGAAAAAGACAAGGAAGCAGCTGGAAAAGAAATTAGACAGTTACAAGATCAATTGGATGAGTTCCGTAAAAAGTGAGTAGTAAGAATGTTTCACATTATAACCTTTTATTGTTTTTCAAAAATTTCGATACTTGAATGTTAATATCGAATAACTTGAATGTTAATATCGAATAAGTCCTGTTTTTGTCTAACGCAACTAACTGTCTGACTTGTTTTCTTATGACTCAACTTCCATTTTTTGGACTCAAATTATGTTTTTCAGGTGGGCGGAAGCCAACAGCGGACGTGCTGAGGATCGCCTAAAAATTGATGAGCTTCTCGTAACTTTTTCCGAACTTGAAGCCGAAATCAACCTTCTAAAAAGACGTATTGCCCTTCTGGATGAAGAAATCGCTTGGCTCAGAAAAGAAAATGCTAGACTCCAAGCTGAACTTCAACGTGTTCGAGTTGTGAGTTCAATCCAGCATAATTTAGACCCTTATTTTCCAAAATGTCAGTCTACTTGTTACTCATCCGAATATTTCAGCAACTTGACCAAGAGACTCTTCTTCGCATTGACAACCAGAACAGAGTAAAAACTTTGTTAGAAGAGATTGACTTCATGAGAAGAGGATTCGACTCTGAACTGAAAGACCTCCAAGCAATGGCTGTTCGTGATACCACTAACGAGAACAGGGAAATCTTTAAGAACGAGTTGGCCAACGCGATTCGTGATATCCGTGCCGAGTATGATCAAATGATGAACGGAAGCAAGAACGAGTGTGAGTCCTGGTACCAATTGAGAGTTCAAGAGATCAACACTCAATCGAATAGACAAAATGCTGAGAACAATTACCAAAAGGAAGAGGTCAAGAGACTTCGTAACCAGATTTCAGAGCTCCGCGGAAAGCTTTCCGACCTTGAAGCTAGAAACATTCTGCTGGAGAAACAAATTGAGGACCTTAACTATCAACTTGAAGATGACCAGAGATCTTATGAGGCCGCCCTCAACGATAAGGATGCTCAGATCCGCAAACTCCGTGAGGAATGCCAAGCTCTTATGGTGGACCTTCAAATGTTACTGGATGCGAAGCAGAACCTGGATGGAGAGATTAAAGTATACCGACAGATTCTAGATGGGCCAGATACAGAGGGATTGAAACAGTTGGTTGAGCGTGTTGTTCGTACTTCGGCTATCACTGAAGTAGCGGATACTGAAACCATGAGAGTGATCAAAGGAGAACATTCGAGTAAAAAATCTTATCAAAGATCTGCGAAGGGCAACGTGAGCATTGAGGTAAAATTTTTGCTTCGTTTTTTTACAAATTTAATGTTCAAGGAATCCTGTGCTGATGGGAAATTTGTGATCCTTCGAAACACTAACACATCCAAAGAAGAGCCCCTTGGTGACTGGAAACTGAAAAGAAAAATCGATGGGAAACGCGAGATCGTCTTTACATTCCCTTCCGATTATATTCTTCAACCGTCTAAAACTGTCAAGGTATGTCACCTTTTGCATTATGCGGATTTCTTAGTTGTCCAAGAAACTTAAACCTGTCCAGCATAAAACATTTTTGAATTGGTTTTTTTTTGGAGAAGAGATGTGTTGTTGTCTCTATTCTTGCGTCGAAATGATAATCTAATGCGTCGATTGTGTTTGGGTGTGGCAAGGTCATTCGACTACTTTTTCGTAATTACGGGCCGAGGGGTCGGGCGATGGGAGGATGATAAAAAATAGAACAAGTGATAAACAACAACGCCAATACTAAGAGGAAAAATGAAAAAAAAACACTTGGTCTTTGTATAAGGCAGCATTTAAATATTTTGACCCGAGTCTAAACAATCTAATGAAAAATCAGTATCCAGAAAGAACTGATAAATCTGGAGGTTACGTCAAAAGACAAATAAATCAAAAATTCTCATTTGAAACTGGTTTTGAAGCATTAAGTACCAACCGTTTTTAGATTTTCGCCCGTGGACACGGTGTGGCCAGTCTTCCAGATACTCTTGTTTTTGAAGGAGAAGATAATTTTGGCGTTGGAGCAAACATTCAAACTATTTTGTACAATAATAAAGGAGAGGTACGATTTGTCCTTTTTGAGACCAAGCTTGATAATTAAACGTTGCAGAAGCGCGCCACTGAAAGTCAACGTCAAAGCCAACAGACAACGACGTCTCAAAGCTAGATGTAAAGTTGTTTCATTATTTTATGATAGTAAGAATGACTGATAATTCACCGCTGTTTAGGAAATTTGTTCCACAAAATTTAAATTTTAATTTTAAAAATATAGTGTTCATAATTTATATTCATTATCATGATTCCAACCATCTCTCTATTAAAATAACAACAGCAGCAAAATTTAGTTAGACTTGATGTGCGGATATTGATTATTTATTAAGTCCAATTTACGCTATTACATTATCAATCGGATGTTTTTTATTATTTGTTTGATTATGTTCTTCACCAATTGTATTTCATATCCACCACATTCGACACAATCACGGTTTTCTTTAAATTCTGTGCCTTTGCAATAATGCCTCTGACATTGTATTCTAATTTTTCTCAGAAATGTGCATAACATTGACCAACTATAGCATGAAAGTATATTAATTATATTATCTATATTCTCGTTGGTATCTTTTCTTGGTGTTTTCCTTTATTCCCATCTCGCATCAAAATATGATGTATTAGAAAAGTAATCGTTCACAATCGTCCACCCGAATGCCGCCTATTCAACTGCTGTGCGTGACCCGAGATATGAAAACACAATGTGAGAATTGATGGCTTCCGTTATTCTGATTTCTTCTCCGAGAATCGTCGTCTTTTCTCTGGTTGGCCGGTGAAAAGAAAAGAAGAACTGATTTGGGATGTGAGACGTACAATAACATTTATTCGTCCCATTAGGCCCCCCGTTGGATGCTGATGCTGTCTTTCTCGGAGGGACTGCTGCAGATAACCTTCTCAATCTTCTCGAATTAACGATCTCGTCTCGCTTCTAATCCTGTTATCCGGTCTTACACTACAGTTTTTTTCTTCGTTTGAATCTGTGAAAAAGAAAATGGTTTTGGAAAGAGAGCGGATTACAAAAAAAGAGAATCGTTTAAAAATTGAATGAACTTGAATAAATTAAGTTTGAAAAAAAAAATCGATGAACATACATTCACTGAAAAATTCTCGAAAATCATTCATTTTTTGAGATTGCTCTCTATTCCAAACTTGTTTTGAAAGCGGTTTGGAATTTATGTAAAAAATAGGAAATTGTTAAAACATACACCAAAGGAGAATTTCAAAGCAACCCTAATTTAGGTAATTAAAAGTGGTTTACGGTGAAAATTTTTATTGTACTGAAATGTGCAGAAAAGCATATAGATTAACATAAAAATAAAGAAAAAATTAAAAATTCCTTCATCGAGAAAAATACATCGAAAAATAGGATGAAAGCCATTAGTGACGAGCTTTTTCGCTTGTTTTCCTAGGCCACCCGGTGAGTAAAAGCGTGCGAATTCAAAACATGTTTTGATGTACAGTGTTTTTTTTTCAGGTTTTTTTCAGGTTTTTCAAGGTTTCCGCGCTCTTACTCACCGGATAGCCTAGAAAAACTAGCGGAAAAAGCTCGTCCCTGAGGGCTTTCATCCTATTTTCGATGCATTTTTCTCGATTAAGGAAATTTTTTTTTAATTAATTCTTGGTTTTTATGTTAATCTACATTCTTTTCTGCACATTTAAATGCAATAAAAATTTTCATCGTACATCCCCTTCAAGAAGTTTTTCTTTCACGTGCTCATTTAGATTCTTTACAAGCTTTAAAAACGTCTTACGTCATTGTTATTTGTTACAAAACTTCCTTCCAATCTTCGGAGTTCTGCAACCGTTCCGTTTCTAACAGAACCAGTTTCTGACCAAACATTCCTTTTCTCAAATTAGGGAGTAATAACTAAAAATGATGAAACCAAACTGCTGTCGGTTTTCTTTGAAGTCTCCCTCCCCGGGCGATTTGATCACTGATTGTTCTTTTTCTTCCGAAATTGTCCCCAAAACTGTCTCATCGTGTTTGTATCATCGCTTCCAATTCCATTGAGTGATCGGTTAGAATTCTGCGATATGTATCACCTTATCTATCAATTAGTCACCTTGATTTATATTAGATCGTTGAGAATCTTCCCAAATTTGAATACAAAAAAGATAATGAACTGCTAGGGAGAATACATAAAGAAAGTCATCCATCACAACCACACCCAATCATTTTTCAAACTGACTCATTTTGTCCATCTACTCCTAATAACGACGCCCTTTTCTGGTAGAACAATTATTCACATCGGGAACATGTCCATCCGTCTTCTTCTTTTTCTCCGTCTTCCACCATCACTTTTGCAATTCCAATTCCATCACTGATGGGCGGGATTGAGAACGGATAACGGAGTGACAGAGGGGCTAAGAAAAAACGATAAATTGAAGAAAACCGCACCCTTCCATCATCTTCTCTCTCACCCACACACTGAGAAATGCGCCTGCCTATCTTCTGCCCCTCCCGGTCCTTCAGTATACACCTTCTCATTTGAGTATAAGAGGTCGTATTCTTTTTTTGAGAAGACGTTACTTATGTTTTTTCATGTCTTCCAGTTTCCAAATTTCAAGTTTCTCTCACCAATAGGTGTGGCTTAAATCAATGGGTGTGCCTAGGTACTTTGGTACTTTAGATTTCTGTAATTCTTTCACTTTGAGAATTACTTTCAAATAATTTTCAAACAATTATTTTACCATTTTGACAATAAAAGTTTGTGTTCCAGCAAATATGTCCGACGACACCTACCGTAGCTCAATCACATCCAGACCATCTTTCAACAGAACTGTCACATCCAGCACTCAGAACTATGGAACCCCAGGATCCGGAAACCGTGTTCTCAAAATCGTTACTGAGATGTCATCGTCATCAGTAGCCAGTGGCCTCTCTCCATACGGTCAGAATGCCGCTTCAACAATTCGTGACAACCGTGAACGTGAGAAAAAAGAGATTATGGAGTTGAACGACCGTCTTGCTGGATACATCGAGAAGGTCAGATTTTTGGAGGCACAGAACAGAAAGTTGGGAGCTGATTTGCAAATGCTCCAAGGTAGATTCGGAAAGAGCACCGGATCTGTCAAAGTGATGTATGAGCTGGAGATCACAACTGCACAGACAGTTGTGAAACAGACTGGAAAGGACAAGGAAGAGGCTGAAAGAGAGATCCGCAAGTTACAAGATCAGTTGGATGAGTTCCGTAAGAAGTGAGTTGTAAAGATTTTCAAACACTTTCTCTTTATTTCGTTTCTAAGGCGCGTTTCAGACTTTCGAACGAGTGAAGAAAAATTTTGAAATTCGAAATTCGATTCTTACGTTTTTAGAGGTATATTTGAATAGTAATATTGAATTGTCAATGCAGAGAATTTTTTTCGTTTCAAAAAAAGATTCAGAATTTTCAGTAGCTTTATGACTATTGTCGGTCTCATTGTCTTATGACTTAAATTATGGTTTTCAGGTGGGAGGAAGCCAACAGCGGACGTGCCGAGGATCGCCTAAAGATTGATGAGCTCCTCGTAACACTTTCCGGACTGGAAGCCGAAATTAACCTTCTGAAGAGACGTATGCCCTTCTGGAGGAAGAAATTGCACGTCTCAGAAAAGAAAATGCTAGACTCCAAGCTGAACTTCAACGTGTCAGAGTTGTAAGTTCATTTTAGAATGTTTGCTTTTTACATTTGTTTTTACATTACGTTGACCCATTCACTCATCTGAATGTTTCAGCAACTCGACCAAGAGACCCTTCTTCGCATTGACAACCAGAACAGAGTCAAGACTTTGTTAGAAGAGATCGACTTCATGAAGAGAGGATTCGACTCTGAACTGAAGGACCTCCAAGCCATGGCTGCCCGTGATACCACCAACGAGAACAGAGAATTCTTCAAGAACGAGTTGGCTAATGCAATTCGTGATATTCGTGCAGAGTATGAACAGATGATGAATGGAAACAAGAGCGAGTTGGAATCCTGGTACCAATTGAGAGTTCAAGAGATCAACACTCAATCGAATAGACAAAATGCTGAGAACAATTACCAAAAGGAAGAGGTCAAGAGACTTCGCAACCAGACTTCAGAGCTCCGTGGAAAGCTTTCCGACCTTGAAGCTAGAAACGTTCTGCTCGAGAAACAAATTGAGGATCTCAACTATCAACTTGAAGATGACCAGAGATCTTATGAAGCTGCCCTCAACGATAAAGATGCTCAAATCCGCAAACTCCGTGAGGAATGTCAAGCTCTCATGGTTGAGCTCCAGATGCTTCTTGACACCAAACAAACTTTGGATGGAGAGCTCAAGGTGTACAGGAAAATGTTGGATGGAGAAAGCGACAACAATGGACTCCGTCAATTGGTCGAGCAAGTTGTTCGTACCTCTGCTATCAATGAAGTTGGTGATACCGAGACGATGAGAGTTGTGAAGGGAGAACACTCCAGCAGAACATCTTACCAAAGATCTGCCAAGGGACATGTCGCAATCAAGGTAGTGTATTAAAACTTTAAGCATTAAAGCTTACCTCAAGGCTATTCATTTGATTTTTTTTCAGGAAACCTCCCCAGAAGGAAAGTTCGTCATTCTGGAGAACACCCACAGAGCTAAGGAAGAACCATTGGGAGACTGGAAGTTGAAGAGAAAGATCGATGGAAAGCGTGAGATCGTCTTCACCTTCCCATCTGATTATGTGCTCCATCCATTCCAATCTGTTAAGGTATGTCCTGTTTTAGAACCTACTTCTGGATTCTCCAAATATCTCCAAAACCCTTTCACAGTTTCCTCTAGATGTTTTCTAATTATCATAGTTTAGAAAACATTAATGTTAACAAAAACCAGGCTGATGCGTATGGTATGATTGTGTGGGTGGGTGTGGCAAGGTCATTCTAGTCGTTTCTTTTGTAATGACTTGGTGTATGGGGTCGGTAAATGGAGAAAAAAAAATGTACAAGCGAAAAGAAGAGCTGATAAACCATTCAAATAGAGGAAACTTAAAACTTACGGGATTATTCGGATTGATCGGAAATTTATTAGAAACTGAACTTATGCTGTGTGAATTCCGAATAAGGGCAATTCTCAGAATTTATTTTAAAAAATTGAATTTACGCAAGCTTACGATCAATTTTTTTTGGACTCATCGAAAAATGTTACACTGCTATTTTCAGATCTTCGCCCGCGGAAACGGAATCGCCAATCCACCAGACGTTCTTGTTTTCGAGGGAGATGATACTTTCGGTGTTGGAGCCAACGTACAAACTATCCTTTACAACAATAAAGGAGAGGTAAGAAAGCAATCTTTATGAAAATTCTATTTTTTTATGTTTCAGGAGCGCGCAACCCACATCCAACGTCAAAGCCAACAGACAACCACTTCCTAAATTCAATCTAGCTTTTCCTGCTTGAGCTATAATAAAAACTATTTTTCTTCTTTTTGTACCAGAAATCTAAAACATCCAATCCCTGTCCTGCCAGCCTGCATTTGTTTTTTTATAATTTGAAACTTTGAACTGTGAACAATACCAATTGTCAACGCTTACATATTCATTTCTCTTTCTTTATACTCCAATAAATATGCTTAATAGACACTTTTTCTGAAGATCATTAACTTTTTTCTTACGCCTAGATGGACGAGAGTAGAGAGATCAATATGATAACGTGATCGAGAGCAAACATAATCAGACGGGGGGTTGGCTTAAACCCTGATAAGAAGAGAAGGTCCAATATTTCGTTATCAACCTAGCACACACGAGAAAGAGACCTTACTTGTCATTTGCTCGTTTTCAAAGGAACAACCTACACGATATAAAATATGGGCAGTCTTTATTATTCGGGTAAGTCCCTTTTTCTAGAATTTTAATCTTGTTTGGTGAGTAGAAGCGAAATAATGCATTCTGGCTAATATTGTTTAAATCGAATTTCGTATTCTTTTAGTTTGGATTTCAAATGGCTTTTCTATCAACCAGGGGCCGTATTTATGAAATTCACTTTTGTAAATCATTTACTCTCAAAAAATCAACGGAATTATTTACCAAAAGGTAAATGGAAGCGTGAAAATGTACTGAAAATCTTTTTCTCGTTTGTAAATTATTTTGCTGTTTTTTTAGATAGGAAAACGACTGTGAACTAGAATTTCTCAACTACTTTAAAAAAAATTGAATGCTCTATCCATTCATCACATTTGTATCAAAAGTCAAAAAGAGGGGTATTTACCAAAAAGTAAATGATTTATCTTAAATTTTCACGTTTTTCAGTTGATTTTTGAGAGTAAATGATTTACAAAGGTAAATGTTCATGAATACGGCCCCAGAGCTCTCACGATCCAATATATTTTTTCCGAAAAAAAGTTGGCAGGTGAAACACATAACTTTCTTCCCCTGTCAGCTCTATTTTAACTTGTGTTTCCTGTCAAAAAAGTGCTTATTCACTCACTCGACTCTCAATATAGAGTCAAAAGCAACGGTACTGATAAGAAAGGTGAAAGTCGTGATTTGCTGCATCCCGGAAACAGTCGATCGATTCTTCGCTCTGCCAAACTCTTTCTTTCCTATTCACTCTTTGAAACTTATTCAGAATCAAGAATGGTCAGGAAGGATGAAGTCTCCTGTAAGCTGGTCATGGGGGACGACAAGAAAACCGTAGTGAGTTTAAACCTTTTCTCTTCGAAACATTTATAAAACTCTTCTCTTATTCATTTCAGGTCTATGCGGTGCGTATTGGGGATGGTCCAATAATGCAAAAAGTTTATGAAGAATATGAGAAATTTTTCTTGACGGTGAGCCGTTTTCTGGACGCGCAAAAATACGGAAAGCAGTTTTAGGATGTCAAAGACATGGTTCCCGAGAAGTTTACGATTTTCCCAAAAAAGAAATTGTTGCAATCCAAGAAGACGTTCTTTGAGAAACGACGACTATGGATCCAGGACGTGTGTCAGCATTTAGTTGATAATCAAACAAAAAGGTAATCAGATTAAACGTTGAAACGTGTCATCTATTTTTGTAGCGAGGATGTTTGTCGATTCTTCCATATTGAGGCTCCAGATGACGATGATAATACTGTGGATCTGGGACCTAGTGAGAGGAAGACGTGAGGGAATGATTTCATAATATTGTTATTGCCGTGATTAAATTTCAGTGCCACCGCTAACGACTTTGATTTCTTGACCACCATTGGAAAGGGCAGCTTCGGAAGAGTCTATCAAGTACGCCATAAGGAGACTAAGAAAATCTATGCGATGAAGGTGCTCTCCAAAGAGCACATCAGAAAGAAAAATGAAGTATCGTTCGACGACGAGTGAAACTACTTAAAATAGATTATTTGACAGGTCAAACATGTAATGGCGGAGCGAAATGTTCTTATCAACAATTTCAAGCACCCATTCCTGGTGTCCCTTCATTTCTCGTTCCAGAACAAGGAGAAACTGTATTTTGTTTTGGACCATTTGAATGGTGGAGAAGTAAGTATCACGTGATAGATCATCAGTGTTACGTCCACAACAGCTGACTGAATTTTCAAAATATCAACATGCATTGTTTTTCTAATCTTTTCGTTGGAGGTATCGCGTCGCCAGCTGAGCTATTGTGGCGCTATTTACGCAGCCGATCGATATATGGAAGCGGTACCGTAGCAACTACTTTTGCATACGGTCGTCCCGAAAAACCATATAAACTTTCCTGTCCCTTATCCTTCATTTTTTTGATCACCTAACGTAATTTTTCAGTTATTCTCTCATCTACAACGCGAAAAGCACTTCACTGAATCTAGAAGCCGATTTTATGCTGCAGAAATCGCCTGCGCTTTGGGATATCTTCACGAGAAGAATATTATTTACAGGTAAATGCAAATCCGTTTTTAACGAAGACTATTTATGAATAGCAGAAAAATTGATTACATTTTTTAACACGTCATATTTAAGGGACTTGAAACCGGAAAATCTGCTTCTTGATGACAAAGGATATCTAGTCCTTACCGATTTCGGTCTCTGCAAAGAGGATATGCAAGGTAGCAAGACGACGTCAACATTCTGTGGAACTCCAGAATACCTGGCTCCCGAGATTATTCTCAAAAAGCCATATGACAAAACAGTGGACTGGTGGTGTTTGGGATCTGTGCTCTATGAGATGATTTTCGGATTGGTATGCGATCTTTCACTAGACTCGAGTAGTTTTTTCTTCACCTGTTGGTGGTCCGTGGGAAATTGAAGCCTGGTGTGGTATTATAAAATATTTCCATATAGAAAAAAACGAAAAAAAGCCAGAACATATTGACAAGATAAGAAATGTTATCAATCAAAAGTTTTCAAATTGATTTATTAAGTTTTTTCTAATTTACTCGTAATATCTGACCTAACTCAATTTTTCAAAAACCAATCAGTCTTAACTTGATCTATTATTTTATACATTTTGCCCCAAAACCGATGACCTTTTTCCAGCCTCCATTCTATTCAAAAGATCACAACGAGATGTATGACAAGATTATCAACCAACCACTCCGTCTCAAGCATACTATCTCTGTACCATGCACTGAGCTTATCACTGGGCTCCTTCAAAAAGATCGTTCGAAACGTTTGGGACACAAGAACGATTTCCGCGACATTCAAGATCATCCCTTCTTCTTACCAGTAGACTGGGATAAGTTGTTGAATCGAGAGTTGAAGGCGCCATTTATTCCGAAAGTCAAAAACGCAATGGATATTTCTAACATTTCCAAGGAATTTGTGGAAATTCAAATTGATCCTGGTAAGAGAACAAAAAAGGGTTTTTTTTTCAAATTCAGTGATACGATTGCAACGGAACGTTTCTAGTTTGTGAAGAAGTAAAGTTTTCATCCGCAAATTTAATTCAAATAATTATATCATTTATCTAGGGTGAGCTCAACACGCAAACATATCCACAGAAACCCTTTTCACAAACATAAACTTCATATTTATACATATAAGTTCATAGAGCTCCTACTCTTTCTCTCACCTACACACACATACACTACTAATTAGACCTTGCCTGCGCATATCCACACAATTTTCTAGTAGCCTTCTCCCCTTCTTTTCGCCCCAGTAATGCAATGGAAACACCACTCAAATTTCGGAAACCCAGCCCCCTTATTCCTCATTCTTTCAGCTTCTCTCGCACCTCAACAATTGGCCGTCACTCACCGTGACCATGACTTTGAGAACTTCACGTTCGTCGACACTAATCGCGTGTTGGTTTGAGTTCATACTGGAACCGCATTTCTTTTTTTTTTAATTTCTCTTTATTTAATCTGCAACCTATTTGTCTCTAAAATCCCACCTTATAAATATACTTGTTACCACAATAACTTCTTTTTATTCTTTATTTTTTCTTGCTTCCATTTTTCTTCTTCTTCTTCTAATTTTGTTTGTTGTATGCTCACATTTCCTCCTCACCTATTGAAATAAAATCCCTGGTCTTTGAAAATTACTAAAAGATTCAAATATTCCTGCTTTTCGACTTTTCAAAATTGTTTGGTCTATCCTTTTTTTCTTCTCACGGACAATAGAAACATGATCAGTGAGCTCAAGGAGAGACGCTTTATAATGCATACGCATACTTAAACTTGACACCACGGATCCAGAAGAAATGAAGTCAGTTACCCATCGCCAAGTCAAAGTGATCAGAAAACTAGGTTGACCTTTTTGAAGAGGGAGAAATATACTGAATTCTCTTCATGCGCTAGTATAGTAGTATCTGTTTTTCGTTGTTGGGAAGATTCAATTTCCGACCGGAACACCTATAGCAGTCATTGTCTACGAGTTTCAGTTATTGTAACAAAAAAGTCAGTTGACTATGCCTAGCTCTAGCAAGCTTAGTCATTATCTTGGGAACCTATAGTAAAAATTAATTTAGCATGTACTAGAAAACATGTACTTTTTGCTGATTACCTCTATGCTCAAAGTTATCTGCACCTATGTCTTTCTTCCTTCCTTTTTTGGCTTTTGCTTTTTATTTTTCACTTTTCTCATATATCCATTCCCAGCCATTCCAGAAAACCCATGAACATTCCATTGGAAATTGAAGAATGTCGGTGAAATACCAATGAGACGCAGAGAGCACAGGGCGGCGAAAAAAAAAACAAAAAGAAAGAGACAATGCGAGTTTTTCATATTCACAACCAAAGACAAAAAGGGGTGAGGTGTGAGAACCTCCTGGGTGTGAACTCATGACGCCACACCCCAGTATGGATAAATGAAAGAGTTTACCCTAGAATTCTCAATTTCTTTTTCTCTCCTTCCTTTCAACTTACTTCTCGGTTCACATTTCACTCGATCTCCATGCTAATCACCTCTCCTGGCCACCTGCGTCTGGTCACTTTAGAAGCATGTGTAGCTTAGACTGGCTTATCTTTTTTCCTATTCTTACACATTCGTTTTCCTTAGTTTCGGTGGTTTAGATTCTTCATGATATCAATACTGATTTTTTATTTTTTAGCATAGATTGGAATTCGTGTAGATGAACCGTTTTCAAACAACTGAAATTTTTGATTGAGTTGCAACTAAACAAGCAATTTTTGCTATTAACATTGTGATTGTAATATTTGTTTTCAAACCGCCTTCTGCGAAATGTAACGTTGTTCTGCTCGGTCGGTGATGAACCTTGTGGCCAGAGAACTATTTAAAGACGCATTGCTGAAAAATAATTTTTAGCGTCTCTCAATTTGTTTCCATTTTTTCAAACGTTTTTAGTAAGTTTTTTTTGAATATAAAAATATCAAAAATTGAATGAAACGATGAACGTCATTAAAACGGTACAAAATTGTCAACAATAAAAACATGTCTGAAGTTTTATTTGGAAAATCTAGAAACTTTAAGGGAAAGAAAATATAGAAACTTTAAAGGAATCCAACGATAATTATTTCTCTACTAGACCGATTTTAATAAGTTTAACCAAACCATTCCTCACCCTATTAAAAGTTCATAAAAAGTTCAGAAAGTTCTTGTTACCAAGTTTTGTATTTGAAAAACTCAATACTTTGTAAATTTCAAAATTTGTTTGAATTCTATTATATATACGAGATACCAAAATCTGTTTCCTACAATGTTCCATCTGATGAAGTACAAGTACGAAAACCACATTTTCCCTCCAATTTTTTTTCATAACCTATCATAAAGTTGTTCATTTCAACAACATGGTTCACTCATATCTCCTCTTTGAGTTAACAAATTCTAAGCACTTTATACCCTATATCCCCCCCCCCCCTTTTTACCAAATTGCTTCCCTCTTCTTTCTTTAACACCCAATTTCAAATATATACACTGCATTCTCTGGATGTGTCTAGGTTCTGACACGTTTCGTTTGATTCTTCTTTTTTGTTGAAAAAGTTTAGAAGGAAAAAAAACCAACTTCCTGTATCTTCCTTGAAAGCGTTTCAAATTACCATTTTCCTTATTTTCTTTCATCCTTTTTCTTTTTTTACTTGCTCTTCTTCCCCGATTCTCCTCAAAGAAAAAGAAAGATGGTTGCTAGGATTTGTCCCATATTTTTTTCACTTTAATTGCATTCTTTTTTATTTCTTTTCTTTGTCAGTTTCATTTCACCTGCTTTCTTTCTCCCTAAAAGCGCGTCCGAACATGTTTCATTTTCATCTTCTTAGTTTTCAGGATTTCGTCTTCTCCTTCTCCGTCCGCCTCCGAGGCACCCTATTTCTTCAATGAAACGGGAAGCAGTGACAATGAGATAGACGTGCCGTTAGATGAAATCTGGCCATACACAGTACAATCCACGATTCTCGTTTTTCTGTTTGTAGTCTGGATGTGAGTTTTTTTCTTATCCTACTAAGCACTTCCTTACTTTTTCATAGAAATCAAATGCTTTATTATTAGGTTGGCCGGAAAGTAACTGTCCATTTTTTGATTCATGAATAACACAAAAGCAAGAGTTATCCAAGATTGACAGTATGCACCGTCGCGGTCCATGACATGTTGACAACATTCAGGTAACTTGTGGATACCATCTCTCCAAAAGCCCGCTGGACGCGACTCAAAGTATTTTTTCAGTCAGGATTTTAGCTCATCTACAGTGTTGAACTATTTCCCTCCAGATGACGTTGCATATCTCTTAATAACCAATAATGGAAGGGCGAAATCAGCATTTTAAGGGGGCATGAAGAAGAACCGTCCAGCTAAAGAGGCCCAGGTCTTACTTAATTTTCCGTGGAACATAGGATCTCGCTTTATTTAAGAAAAGTCAATTTAGTCCTGAGCCGCTTTGGATGGACGACCCTTCACTTTCCTTAAACTCCAGACTTGACCCTTTTATTATTGGCTATTCGGAAATATTCAACTGGAGGGAAAATAATTTTACACTGTCGATGAGAAAAAAACGTCCGGGAAGTTGCCTGAATGTTGTCAACATGTCGAGGACCACGACGGTGCATCCTGTCAATCTTGGATGGTTCTTGTTTTTGTGTTATTCACGAATAAAAAAATGGACAGTTACTTTCCGGCCAACCTAATATTACAGGATTATTGGCGTATTTGTGGCGAGAGAAGTGATGTTGGTAATACTGGATCATCGAAAGATTAGGTGGGTCTGCATTTTATATTTCTCGTTCCATAGAAAAAAAAACAAAAACACAAACTATCATCCATCAAATGAAGGATAATTAGAGCCAGATGGCTAAACGGGTCCCGACATCTGAATGCGGATAAAAACAAACATTTTCGTATTTTTTGAGAGAGAAAAAATTGATGTGGATTTGATGAGTTTTCGGTGCAAAACGATTTGTTTGTTTTTGCAATCAAAATATAGGAAATTAGGAAAGACATCCCAAACGGAAGTAGAGAAAACAGGAAATCAAAAACGTCACAAAAATGCGATTTTGAAAGAAGAAGTGATAGCAAAAAATGGGTTTCATGAGAATTTCGCTGATTCCAACTTACATTTAGAATCTGCATAACCTGTAACAAAATCTTTATAATCTGTAACTCAATCTCTGCTAACTGACTACATTCGATACTGAACTACAAAAATTAATCTTGAAGACTGCTAAACTTTTGAAAAACGTAGTAACGTTCATGATGTTATTCACCCTAAAAGCTGGAAAGTCTCCCCTCTGAATTCATAAAATCTCTAGATAGATTGTTTTAACAGCTGAAACACTAATCATAATGTTTTACTGTGGCTGGTTTTTCTGTTGAGTTGCAAAGGTTTCTGTTTTTTATATTTGCTTTATTTGAGTTTTCCAACTGACAGTTCAATTCAAAAACCGAAAGAGCTTTTAAAGGTTGGAGACAGGAGATGTTACGGGGGATTTTTAAGGCCAGGGTATGCATTCTACCGTAACGGTGTACAACGCTTAATGTCACTCTGCATACAGCTGTAGTCCTCACCCTTATGTTTACCATTCTCTTCGCTCGCGTGGCTCAGTCGGTAACGGCGGCGCACCCTCAATCCTCACCGCCACAAGTAATCCTCGAGGGGCACATACAAACCGAATTTGGAGAAAATTGTTTTTTCATGTCCCCCACGTTTAAGAAAAATCGCAAAAGAGTCTGTCTAACAACAATCAAAATTTTTGACGTCCCATTAAGTTTAAGAAAAGTTCAAAATCTTTTTCTGCTCTTCAAAAACCAAATGAATAACTGATCGCTTTTTTGCACTTGAATGCGAACAACACACGCCTGATTTCAGCTGCACAGCAACAGAAATTATACTTACATTATGAGCGAAATTTTGCAGAAGAAAACCATTGTCAAGAAAAAGGTATAATGGAGCTTACAGTGTGAAAAAGAAGCGATATGTCAACGACAAAAACTACGAAGCGGTGGCAAATGGAGGCAACGAAATCGTGTGACACCGGTGAAGGATTATCGTTCATAGCTTTCTGAATAATTGTTCTTTCTTTTTTTTTTAGAAATCACGTGTAAATTGACAATGTTCTTTATTTGTATACAATATTAATAATGATCACTTGTATGTAAGGTATTCACTTTGATTTCTTTTTTTTTTTCTTAATCAATACTGTGATTTTTTGGTTTCTTGTTTGTATGAAAAGACAGTTTTAATTCTAAATAAGAACTGATTCGAATAAAAATAAAATGAAAAAGAAAGTGGAGTTTGAAACTATTTTCGGTTTCAGGAACCATCAAAGGACGCCTAGGTTTTGAGCGAAAGGTTTTATAGGAAATTTCAACTGCGAGATTCGAGTCTATGCTGTTTTTCGAAAGTCGAGAAACATTAGAAAAAACTGCATAGACTTTCCATATTTCTGAGGTAGACCGGATTTTCTTCAGATAACACGGATATGGCTTAGAAGGGTAAGTGCGGAGAATTGCTCTAGGTGTCAAATATTCTTTCAATTGTTTCTTTCAATTGTTTTCAATTGTTCCTCGGGCATGTCATTGTCAGAAAACACAGATATTTATAATTAATTGGCAGGAACTTCTTGACGAAATTCGCATCAACCCATAGGCCTTTAAAATCTGATATCAGGCTGTTGAATTTGGTTCAGGCCCAATTTTAAACGGTTTTATGTCCCATTGAATGAATTATGAACACTTTACTGATGAAATGAAAATAATGAAGTGCTTCGAACTCTCCAATAATGCGTGTAGGGCGTGGATGATTTCGAATTGTCAAAAAACCTCCGGATGCTGGTCAAATCCTGGTCATTTTTATAAATTTAAGCCGCTAGAACCTTGAGTAGAATTTAGCTCAGCTTCAGTATATCTCAAATTGAAAGCTGACATTTGTCTCGGTTCCTTGAATTCATTTTTTTCACATTTCTGTTCGTTATTTCAGAATCCCTTTTAGTTCTTAGCAAAACAGATACAAGAAAGAGTTATCATATATAGTATATAGGAAAAAATCTTGTATGCTTAATTTAATGAGTTCTTAATGTCTCATACCAATTTACTTATCGCCCCTTTTCTTCGGTCAGTTTGGCCATTTTTCAAGAGTATGGAGCTCGGTTTTTCAAGTTTCCAATCACTTTGAAAATTTTGAAGGATGTGAAACGGACATAGATTGGAAACTTTGCATTCACAGAATTTTATAAAATTCCTAGTTTTTCAGATATTTGCCGAGTTCTGAAAGACACCCGTTTTAGTACTGAAATCGCGAAAAAACTGTATTTCAGAAATTGGCGAATAGCTGAAATACTAGGAATTTTTAAAAAGTTCCGTGTATGCAAAGTTTTCAATCCAGGCCTGTATTATACACTCGAAAATTTTCAAAGTGATTGGAAACTTGACAGCCGAGTTCCACAATCATGAAAGTGGTTAAAAATCAATTGAAAAATAAGTTTTTGTATGGGCCCTTCTATTATGGGGGCCCTTCTATTACAGGGATTACTTCTATTTTTTCAAGCACCTCTTGGAGGGCCCTTCTATTACAGGGATCACTTCTATTTTTTCAAGCACCTCTTGGAGGGCCCTTCTAATACAGGTTTAATGGTAGATTATTGCTGGTACTGTAGGTAATGGATTTCGAAAAATTTCGGGATTTCTTCAAAGCTATTGAGAATTTTTAGATTCCAAAATTCTCTGACCACTATCCCCAAAATACTATACTTACATGTATCCTGGTAATGAAGGTGGAATCAAATTCGGCGATTTATAATAGCTTCCAGCCCTCGATGAGCTTCTCATTCTCTTGGTTTTCTGTTTCAGATATCTCTGATACTTGGAGAGACAGCAAACGAAAATTAAAAGCCTAATTAGTGCAATAATCAATAATCCAACGACTCCAATTAAGATCAGAGTATTCAATGGAATATCAATTGGTGCTGTGGATTCAGAAGACGATGTGGACGTCTTCGGAAAGCAAGCATCAACATTCTGTACTTTGAAAATGTGATGGAGTTTTGAGATATGACCATTTGAAGGGGAGATGAGCGCCGTGATTTGTTTATAATCCAGAATTGCATTCTCACGAGTCAAATAGAAGCATACAGAGGTCCTGGAAGCTTTTTTTGTAAGTGTCAGATTCTGAATTTATACGCGAACCACGTGGAATTCTTTCTATCCATTTTTGGCTCATCGAAATGAATGTCCAATTGTTTTCCAGCTTTCTGATTGTCTTTTCCGACAGCTTCCAGAATTTATCGTCTGAATTTTTCCAGATTTGCGCCGAATTTGTTTCGGGACAGTGAGAGGACGTAACGGAGTTTTGTAATCGTTTCGAATGTGATGGAGCTGAAAATATGAATTTAAAAACCTCTAATAGTATGACCCCCCTTTGAGCTAAATTTTCTAATAGAAGCCTACTCAATCTGTGAAATTAGAGATGATTCTGCCCGTCTCTTCTTTTCAAATATTATGTTTTGGCAGTAACATCTCAAGAGAAAAATAATTCCAGCCTTGACAGGTTGCATAGTTTTTTGCCTACCGACGCTACAAGTAAAGCAATGTGAGATTAATAGCCGATTTCATTTTTTTCTGGAGTTAGCGTATCGATCTTGTTGTATGTGTATATCAAAAATACTGTCCCATTTCTAATAAGAGTTAATTTTATTCCACAACCACTGAAAAACAAAGCAAACCATTTGCCTTTTTTCTGCAGAGCGTATTACAATATACATCAAAACTATCGTAGTTTTATGAACGTATGTGCGTAGAAAACACATCTTATAGGTGAAAACTAAGGCTGAACTTTTTTACATTTCCTGGTAAACTATAAGATATATGAATTAGCCAGAACATATTCAAAATATGGGAAACGTTACTTAATCGAGCAACCAGTCTACTCAAAAGTCGATAAGTATTTCGCGTAACTTTAGTTTTACGGGTACTGTAGATTTTCAAACAAAATACTGAATTTATTCATTTAGTTTTGGTTTTTTGACATTTTCTCTGATCAGATATTAGGTCGCATTTCGGAAAAAAGGTATGAGTAGGCCAAGTATTCAATTAAATTTCCAATAAACGTGTTTCTACATGCTCACTTCTCTGGTGGCGCATGTAGGGTTCCAATACTTTTCTGGCTTTGTCGCTTGACCCGAATGTAATCTTTCGCGCCCTGCTAAATTGAAAACATTTTATGTTCCAGTGTCTACTCGAGTATCTTATCTCTACACTCTCAACCTTCCTTGTCTATTATGTATTTCCCAAAAAATTTCTTATGAAACGCTCTATTGATCGTTCAACTCCTCCTCTGGGAATGGTCCTCGCTACTACCACGTCATCATAACCCCTTCCCACCTGTATATCTTCTATATCTTCCATTGTTCTCCTCTTTTTCTCACTCATAAAATCTATACTGTGCATGCAAATTTGAGTGACTGTCACTGTGTGCATGTGTTGGAATTTTTTGGTCGATCTTTCTCCACCCCCTTGTAGGCTCTTTATTGTTGTTGACGTCTCATCAAACAGTTTCTTCTTGCATGCATTCTCTTATTTTTTGGCTGGCAGTGCGGTTCTCCTTTCCCTTGCTCTTCTTCTTAATATATCGTCTCTTTTTTCAACAAATACTGTTTCAGACTCCACTCGAACATTTGCCATCATGCCGATTCTCAACAAAGTTGTTCCAACTGCTGCCCAGGCCAAGAAGGGAAAGAAAGCCTTCGTTGCTGTGGCCATTAGCCCAGAAGAGATTCAAAAAGAGTTCCAAACGGCTCACAAGAACACTGGAAAGGAGTTGGCTGCCCTTGTCGTGGTCGTTGCTTGCATAATCGTCGGATTCTTTGCTCTCGAAAAGTTTATCTGAAGCCGCTCAAATCATCTGAATGCTTCACTCTTTTCATTTTACCTATCCAGCCCATCTACCACTGTTTTTCTTTTCAAGTATTCCCCTCTATTCAAAAATTATTGTAACATTATCTATACATAATGATGTATCCACGGAATCATTAAAATTCTGTAAACTTCATTTCTGTATTCAATGAAATTATCCTTCTTAAAAACTTGTATATTTACGCTTTTCAAAAAGTTGTTTCAGTGTCGCAGAGCCGAAAACTATTCCCTACGAAGACTAGGACATTTTATGGAGTGGGTATTCGAACAGGGTTTGTGAACAGCGCGGAGTGTTCAAAGCTAGTTATATTAGTTTAAAACACTACACGAGAGAAAGAGAGAACCCTCTCTCGCAGGGTCAAATACACACTCGGAGTGTACTAGAGAAACGAGTGTGTGTTTGTATGTGTGCGTCCCTTGTTCTTCTCTTCTCCCTGTCTTGGTCTCTTGGCCACTATGTCTACAAGAATAGAGACGAAGCGTGTGTGCCGTCGATAGCTCAGTTGGTAGAGCGGAGGACTGTAGAGTCAGTGGTTATCCTTAGGTCGCTGGTTCGAATCCGGCTCGACGGAATTCTTTTTGCTTTTTTGGATGGGGTCAATAGTAGCAAGCGAATCTGGGTTCAGCATTTGATTCATTATAGTTTTGCTAACAGATAATAAATAATACTTTTCGTGTGATTTTTTTTTCGAATTTCAAGATTCTGGCTCAAAAAACTAACCCTTCGAAGAAATTATGGTTCAACATTTTATATTTTGGACAGAACATTTGTTCATATGAAGTTTCAGATATAATTTTTTTATAAAATATCTAAATACTTTCAGCTCTATTTCTTGACAACATGCAACTTTTAATGCTCCAGATTCTCTAGTCTGAATTCTGAAAACCTTCAAAATATCCCTTTTAGATTTTTTCTCAGGACCGACTGAAGAAAGGTTTAAACGTTTCTGGGTATATTAATGTATATCACAATCTTATTATTTTTTCTAGTGCCAATTGGAATTGTTTATCACATGTATTGGATGTTTGTGAGCTTACTCCTCTTCTATACTCCAGGCATCTGGTTCATTGCTGGCTCCCTCATTTTTTGTTTTCGACCTTGTTTCATTAGATGGATACAAAAATTTTTGGTTAAAAAAAAATTGCCTCCGCGTGATCAAAACTGAAAGGAGTGAAGCTCGAATTAGCTTTTTCATTTGGAATTTGGAATGCACATAATTATCGATAGAAGACGCTGTCCCTTTCGAAATGCATTTTTTGTGTCGTGTCGTGCACACATCTCATTTCCTTTTTGCAGAAAATGTTTCAACTAATTCACTGTCCTCTCAAATTCTAAATACTTCACCAAGAACAAAAAATTCGAAACACAACCACTTTTTTATCTTTCAGTTTTTTGAGCTTTCTATGAAGGGGGCGTTGACTCTAGGCGAAGAAAATTACTGGCTTGATGAGAAAGGTTTCACGGCTCTGTTTGTGTTTTTGACAAGTTTATTCAAACCTTTCACCTTTTAGAAATTAAGTAAACACCAGTGGGATGTTCGGGGCTAACCCGTCCTTTTAATCCTTCAAAAAATGACAGTAGTAAATCACTCATAGTATCTCTATTAGCTAGAATCCGGGTAGCATCAATACAAAGCCTTGAATAACCCCAAACACGTCTCTAAGAAAGCATGAAAGGATTACCATTTTCAAACCAGTAAGTATGTCGTAACCAGTGAATATCGAAGTAACTCTGGGAAAATAAAACTGTGTACAGGTTACGGTAGTTTTTGTTTTGGGATCTTTATCCACGGTGACTTCCGATGCGTTTTCTTATTAAAAGTTCCTCTTGATTTCCGTCTTTCCTAATTAATACCTTTCTTTCGATGGACAGTGCTTGTTGGCCACAAGAACACAAACCACTGGCCGAGAAACAGAGATAGATTGAAAATCAAATTCCTGTTCGACGTCTACCAGATTTGTTCAAAAACAATCACTCAAGTGAAGAGAAGAAGATCAACCTTGACAACACCTCTTCGTGTCATTGAACGGGTGTCTCCAACACGATTCGAAGATGATTCCGTGTTGCGTTTTTTCCTCCGTCTTCATCCCCAATGATTTCTCCCGAAAATGTTTATATCATTGCTTTATCTTTTAATTTTTGAAATCCCTTTGAGAATGCCGCTGATCATAAAAAAGGCGCTAGAAATCTACTTGGAACACTTCCTATATTTTTTACTTTTTATATTCACATTCAGCATGCGCATAATTCCAACTGAATGCATTCCCCCTTTTTCAATACACATTCTTACAAGAGAGTCACATCTATTCGATTCCGAGCAGCCCAGAGGCAATTCTTCTTCTCTCATACAAGCTCTGCAGCAAGAAAAAAAAAATCAAGAGCATCATCAAGATCAGCATTCAATGCCTCTTTGAACATAATGTTGTCTTTTTCTCTGGTCTCTTCTCGAACACAATTTGGAAGGGTTTGAGGTTGTAACCACGTATTTTGGAGTTATTCTGAAAGTATCGGGTTTTTTATAGGGTTTTTTTTTCGCATAAACCGCTTCCGAGCTTCCAGCTATCAGCAAAACCATTGAAATTACACTTTTGAATTTCCAGCAAAACCAAGAAAGTTTGTTAATGGAGGTGAGGCAGCGAATAGTTTGGGGTCAGTTTATGGAACAAAATCACGCCGAGAATATGCAGGCCATTGGTTGGCAGTCTGCTTTGCACCCGAGTAGCTCACCCGGCAGTGGCGCTGATTGTTTCCTCATGTACTAAGCAAAATATCTAGAAAACATGTTTTTTATGTCTTGCCATTTTTAATGTTTTTGAATTTTAAAAGGAATACAACCATACTTTTGGAGTCAGTGTTTTCAGTTCTACAGTAGCCGTCTGTCTGTTTTTATAATTTTCAAGCTCGTCCTTTTAGTTGCTATGTTTCCCTTTGAGTGTCCCGATTCTATTCTCCAGTCATATTTTCGTGCAGACAGAAGACATGTTTATGTGCTTTTCTCTTAAGGCAGATAGGAAGTGCCAAACCTATCGAGTTCCTTTCACGTCATCGGTTATCCATCATTCGCCACCTCCAAGCATTCTGACCCCGCCTAGTAATTGTCTTCTTTTTTTACCAGCCACACTAGCTTCCCGAAAAAAACACAACATTTTCAGCGCGTCCATTGATCTTTGTGACTCGTAGTCTGCTCGTGGGAGTCCCCGGTAGTCAAAACAACTCGTAATCCGTTTTTCGTTGTCTCCATTGTCTAAACCTCCACGTATAGAAGATTCATTCTATATTCCAATTAGCTTCCCCGAGACGCGTGTCTTCCTTTCTTCTTCCATTTTTTGCTCTCTGACATATTCCTACATTCTTTCATTTACCGCTTCCTTCAATTCTCCGCTTGTTGTTTTATGTCTATCTCCACCTGGCACCGCCCCTCCTTCCATCTCTTTCACTTTTTTTTGGGTGCACACAAAACAATAAATTATTCGAAACAGCCATTGAAACATCCCTTTCGGAAATTGGCCCCGGTTTTTCCCATCCTTCTTCCGATGCGAGTCCATGAAACGTAATAGCCACGTCCCCAAATGTTTTTTCGACACAAAGGCGCAAAGGCATGAATTGTCAAGAAGATGAGGAGCATCGTTCTAAGAAGCTTTTTGCGACTAAAAAGCAGGAGAAGTTGTTTTTTGTTTACGGCTTCCCACCCATATATTTTCTGTCTGGGCGGCTTGTTTTCTCCTTTCCTGGTCATAGCTTTTACGAGAGGAAAACCGAAAATAGGGTTCTGAATTATTTTTCGTATTTTTTGCGAAGTAGTGAACCTCTTTTAGGTGATTCTTTCTACGTTTACTATTTTTCTTCATTGTTTTAAAATAATCTCTTTTAAATTCTCATGAAGCAATAAAAAATTGGCTCTACTCTTCCTCGCCACTCATTCTTTTTTCTGCTCGTCAACGTCTTCTGGTTTTTCTTTGCCCAAGCGTGTACCTCGATTCAGCCAGTTTTTGCCGCGGCTCCTCTTCAAGAAACGCTCAGGGGCGCGCCCGGTGTCAGCTCCTTTTCGATATGGTCTCTTCACTTCCAGTTTTCTCTGATGCTTCTTCGTGCGGCTCGTCTATCGATTATAAGATGAGCAGCTTCCTCACGGCGCCACGGCGCGTAGGAAGAATTGTGAGCTCGGGTTTTTTTTGCGCTCTTCCTCCTTCCCAATTCTGTCCTCTTACCGATGCATAAGAAGAAAAGCACAAATGCTCTTTCTCTGTGTCGCATCGGAGCAGGAGAAGATTTGAAGAGAGAAAAAGCAAAAAAGGAAGAATACAAAGATTGAAAGCAATGAGTAGAACGGAGACATATATAGGAAGGGGGTGCACATTTTGCTCTCTCTCTCTTTTTTGCTCTCTCTTACAAGCAAACATTTGAACTCATTCTCATTTGTTATCCAAAATACTTACTCGAAAATTCTTGAAAAGAGCACTGAGGAGTTTGTACCAAAAAAAAAATAACTGTCAATCAGTTCCAAAAGTGGTGCAAGCTGAAAATTGTCAGGTCACAATCATACAAATCTTGTATGCTTTACTCAGAATGCCACTCTTCGATGATACGTCTTGGTTTTCTCATAGGTTATGAACTAAAATTAGGTCATGTGTCAAAAATATCGTGAGATCAACGTGAGAGTTTCTCAGCATTAGAAAGTATAAAAAATTTTTTATTTTGCGTCTAATCTGTGAAATATTTCATCAGCCCAAATTGGCTCAGTTCAAACCAGTATTGTGAATTTTTCGCAACATTTTTCTGCGACTGCCTGGTCTGATGTTTGATCATGGTTCTTACTGAGTATGGTAGGAGTAACAGAAAAGAGTCGTGAGTGACTGGAGGACCAAACCGTGCATCATATTGAAAATTACAACCGAAAGAAACAGCTTTGTTTTCGACTATCATATCAAACACAAAAATTGCTGAAAGCTGGAAAAATATAAGCTATTTTGGATCCTTAACTCCTGTTTTGAAATATTTCACTTTCCCAATTGTTGCAAAAATATGTTGACCAGGAGGTTCGAAAAAAAGTGAAGCAACGCAGATGCCCTGGTCGCTTTTTTTTTACACAGAAGCTTTATTTTGCACGCCTACTACTGGGTGTCCCACATTTCTTTTTTTTGTTTACGACTTGAGTTCTATTGGGCAGCTGTCAGTGTTCTTTGACAGGAAGGCGCCCGGCCGGCCATCTAATTTTTTGCAGCTTGAGCCATGTTTCGGGTCTTCATAATCACTTTGCTCTGATTTGAAGAAAAAACCGAAATTATTAAATTTTTCTCCGAGATACCGATCTGTTTCAAACCTTTCTATACCAGAACATAAAGTGAATACCGCGAACAAAAACGGCCTTGGAACCGACGAAACACAGGTGCCTCGTTTCTAATTTTATGGAGATTCCCTCTGTGTTCTATTTGAATTTTACTTATTCGGTTTTCCACATCTAGCGTTAGTTACCACAAACCAAGTTTTGATATTTTTCAGTCATAGAAAAAATTGATTTCGTTTTTTTTGCTTCCGTTTTTTTTTCGGCTCTTCCGTTTTTCGACATGTGTACCAAAAGCTAATAAGACGGGCGGGCGCCTCCTCTGCAGAGCCCAATGAATCAGAGCCAATGAAATTTCGAATTTTCCTTTTTCTTTTCTCCAAATCACACATGTCCCTTCCTTTTTTTCAAGCCATTCTCGTTTTTTTTCTCAGAAAAAAATCACTTGATATCATAGCTTTTTTCGTATTATTTGTGGTCGAGAAAGAAAGCGACGACACAAATGGTTTAGCTGTCATCCCGATTTTTTATACGCTTTTCATATGGACATGAATATGCATATAGATCCATGACTACCTTTTTTTTCCGTTTTTTGTGGCGTTTTTCTGATGCGTCTCCGATATTTATTCTTCATTTCAAACAAAAATCGTTTTCCAGGCTTGGCTTCATTCTGTCATCATGAACCTTCAAATGGCAGGTATGTCGGGGGATTGAAACATTGAAAAACAGTATCAGTCCTCCTGATAAGCAGCCGTGACTGCCATAAGTAAAACCTGAAAAAATTCATTTTCTGGCACTGACAATGCATTTATGCATTCCTGAAATAAGTGGCCTGGTCTAGAGGCCGGCTCTCCTATCATATTAGGTTGGCGGGAAAGTCTTTGTCACTTTTTCAATAGTTTATTTCTCAAAGAAAAAATAACCGAATAATTAATTATATTGTCCATCATTATCAACAACATGTCTCCAACGTTCCCTCAATTTATGGATTCCATTGCGGTAGAATCCAGCCGGGCGTGAGGCAAAGTATTGTTTGAGTGCCGCTTCGACCGCTCCACGGGAATTGAAGCTTCTTCCTTCGAAGGCACGTGTCATATCGCCAAATAACCAATATCGGAAGGAGCAAGATCAGGAGAATACGGGGGGTGAGGGAGAACATTCCATCCATATCCCATCAGCTCCTGCTTCACTTGTTTCGAAACATGTGGGCGAGCGTTATCATGTTGATAGTACACTTTCTTGTCTTTCAGGGCCGAACGGTCGACTGCTTTCTTGAGGTTTCGTAGTTGAGTAGTGTAGAGGTCTCCAGTTATTGTTTTGCCCTCGGGCAGAAGTTCCCAGTAGATGGGGCCGTCCACTCCCCACCACACAGAGAGCATAACTTTTTTCGGATGAAGGTCGGGTTTGGGGACATCCTGTGGGCTCTCTCCTTCTCCAACCCACTGGGATTTCCTGTGGGGATTATCGTAGAAGACCCACTTCTCATCTCCGGTTATTAGCCGGTCCAGCCATCGATCGCCCGCGTGGAGAGTGAGAAGAGTAATCGAATCGTCGACTCGGCGGTCAAGGTTGGCTTGAGTCAGGTGATGAGGTATGAATCGACCAAAAAGTTTTCTCATTCCAAGAGACTTCAAACCTTCAAGGACTGTGCTATGGTGAACTCCGAATGTGACAGCTAGTTCACGGCTAGATTGAAATGGATCCGATTGCAATGCGTGCTTCAGCTTGTCCAAATCCAACTCACGGGGTCTCCCAGAGCGATCCTTTTCATCGAGCGAGAAGTCATCTTTTTCGAAACGATGGAACCAATTGCGAATAGTATTGTAGTGAGGGGCATGTGTGTTGTACACATTCTTCAAGAAAGTTTCCGAATCCTTCATCGTGGTGTGAGATAGGAAGAGGTAAATCAAAACATGTCTGATGTGAATAGCAGTGGGAACAAACATATCGTTTCAATTACAGATGAGGAGCAGGGAAGGAAATGGGGACTTGTTTATATGGAAGGTTCTTATCACCTTGTTATTCACTAGAGTCGATATCATACACAGCCTCCATATACGAGAACAGTGATTAAACAAACAGAGTGACAAAGACTTTCCCGCCAACCTAATATTTACATATGTATTATACCTGGGTCAAAAAGTATAGAATCTGGAAAAAAGCATAAGGTTCGGCCTAGGTCTCGTTTGAGTGCTTTTTAAGTATGCATCAAAAAACTTACAAAAATAGTATTGCAGTGGATAGCGTTGAGCACGAGATGCTAGAGCTTTCACAACAACACGATGCCTTCAATCGGGATTTGAACGTAGACATGATCCAGGAAACTGACTATGCCTCACATCACGATTTGATGAGATTGATTGCTGCTCAAAATCCGGAGGCCGCTGAGGATATTTTGAGAAACCACAAAATCAAGCATCCATTGGCAATGGAGAAGCAGCGAGAGTTGTTCTCTCTTCGTCCCACAGTTTTCCAGTTTTTCGTCGAGATCGTTGTGAACAAGGACCACCCGTTCCATCGTTTGAAACAATACCAAACACTTCTGTCTCTCATGACTGACCTCTACCCATCAGTTATGGCTGACGCTGAGCATGTTCTCTTCTGGGAGCGATTGCTCGATGCTGCTGTTTTCAACTTTGCTAACTGTCAATGTGTCAATGAAGCTTTGAAAATTGAGGATCAACCACTTACTTTTGAATCTCACAAACAAAACAAACCGGTGATTGAAGTTCGACAAACCCATGCAATGGAGAAGGAGGATGTCTGTTACCTAGACGACGTCCGTGTTCATGGATTCATCAAGCCACGTCACATTAAGTATATTGTGGAGATCGCCAGCGCATACAAATACTTCTTGGCTCGCAAGATTGACATTCTGAAAACTCTCGAGCCGGATCCAAAACTCAAGGTGGGATTGTTCAACATAAGCTTGAAGGTGAAATATGACCCACCGATCTACATTGGGTTCAGGAGCAAGAACAATCGCGGGAAAAACAGCAAAACTAGTGCGTTTTCTCAATTACTAACTAGGGAATGATCAGAACTTACCTCGCGATCGAGACATACCAGTGGTTCCATCGAAAAGAAGGTCATTCCCTGGGTCCAAAACAGTTTTCAAATTTTGCTAAATGGCCCGGGATATTTGTGGTTTAAAATCGACCAATAAAGCATGTAAATTTCAACTTTTCATCACGAGCTCCCTCCTCCACTCCCCTCTCACAAACACCGGTTTCTTAACCGCCACCGTTCATCATTGTAAAGCGTTTCTCCGGTGGCCGAGGGGTGCGCGCGTTTGTCTGGTAATCTTGTTTTGCGGGTTCGAACCCACCTTCTTTTAAACTTTTTGTTTTTGAATTTTTTGGCCATTTATCAGTTTTTCACTTCTTATTGTGATTTGGGTATCCATAAAAAGCTACCCTTGAATTTTGAAGAACTTTAAATTTTTTTCGAATTTTCGAGGTTTTTCAGGACCAACATTATCGAAAAATTCATTGCTGCAGCTACTGATAGACATCAAGCATTCAGATAAATTTTTCAGAACTTCGGTACGGAATACGTCGAGTTATATGAGAAAATTGTATTCTAATTTCCAGATTTCCGATTTCCTTTTTTTTATCTTCTGCTAGAAAAAATGACCGTAAGAATGGAAAACGGAAGACGGTATTTCACACACAGCGAGGAAGTGCAAAGACTGATTCATTTCAGCAATATTGAGAAGATTTTTGACCAAAAAATCCACTTTTTCGATAATGTTGGTCCTGAAAAACCTCGAAAATTCGAAAAAATTTTAAATTCTTCAAAATTCTAGGGTAACTTTTTATGGATACCCAAATCACAATAAGAAGTGAAAAACAGATGAATGGCCAAAAAATTCAAAAACAAAAAGTTTAAAAGAAGGTAGGTTCGAACCCGCAAAACAAGATTACCAGACAAGCGCGCGCACCCCTCGGCCACCGGAGAAACGCTTTGCAATGATGAACGGTGGCGGTTAAGAAACCGGTGTTTGTGAGAGGGGAGTGGAGGAGGGAGCTCGTGATGAAAAGTTGAAATTTACATGCTTTATTGGTCGATTCTGGAACACAAATATCTCGGCTCTCCGGGCCATCTAGCAAAATTTGAAAACTGTTTTGCAACCAAGGAATGACTTTCTTTTTGATGGAACCTCTGGTATTTCTCGATCGCGAGGTAAGTTCTGACCATTCCCTAGTAAAGATAAAAGAACCGCATTTTTCAGTGAAAAGCTGCACTGGTGAGAGAGTCGAGGGAGATTTCAATGACGTTGTCCCAACAGTCTGTATTCATGAAAACTGTCTCGTTGGCAAAAAAGGAAGTTGTAAGTTCATTTCATCAAATTGTAAATTTTCGCAAAAATTTTTCTGCAGGCGATCTAGAGAAAGGAACTTCTTACATTGATATTAAAGTTGACACCGTCCGTCTCGGGGACCCACCACTTGGTGCCACAAATTGCGTCGATATGGTGGCAGTCGAAAAAGCGTTGGAAGTGATTAAACTCCATTTGGCACGAAATAACATTCATACTGCTGGTAAGCTGCCAGCAGTTCATTTAAAATATGTAATGGTGTGTTATTTGGATGAAAATGCAAATATGCTCTCTTCACCAGCGGGTGATGATGATGACACTGCTCACCTACGTGCACTAGTGGACCAGTATCGCGAGATGAATGCGATCGATGTGGAAGTCATGAAGAAGTTCAAATTGCCGGAGTTTGGAATGACTGGATATTTCGGTAAGAGATTGACTTTCTAGTTCTATTATATGACAGGAAGAACATAATAGAGTAGAATTATAAAAACTTTGAGCTTATTTTTGAATGACTTTCTCTAGAAATTTTCGAATCAATATGCCTTATAATTTCCGAACAAGGTTGGGACCACTTTCATGATCGACGGCTCGATGATTTCATCATGGGACCTCTCTTCTGGGATGGACCTAAAAACCTTCCGTCCGAATACTTTTGAATCTTGTATCACTCTAGATGTTTTATTTTGAAAAAAAAACAAGGGTTTTCAGAATCCAACATGCGCCTTGAAGGGAGCTTCCACAACGTTTACAATTTGTTCCTTCCAAAGACTTACGAGATTCTCTAAGCATCAACCCGTTTTCATAATTTTCCTTCCTAACTTTTCCTTTAATCTCTGATTTTACAAATTCCCAAATTTATCTATGAGCTCTTTCAGTTTTATTCACTTCAACGAAATCACTTCTTTCCGAAAAACGAATCTTACCTTTTGGAACTGTATAAATTTTACCCATTCGTCATTATGACGTTTTTAATTTTTCTTTTCCATTGCTTTCGCGATTTCTAAAATCACAACTACTTCTTCTACTTTTTTTCTCTGAAACTAAGGCTCAAAAATTGAGCAAAACTATTTTTTACGATACTCTGCGTCTTCATTCATTCAATGACTCCATTTACATAATCTTTTTCTTTTTTCAATTCTCTATACCATTTTTTTCAAAGCTCTTCATTTTTTTCTTCTATACTTTCTTCAGAAAGATCTCCTGTCATATTTAGCTTAGCTTCCCTTTTGGAGTACCATTTCAACTGTAACCCTGCATATCTTTCAAGATTATGCCAACGTTTTCTTTGCGATCTATCCTTTCTTTCCGAACGAATCTCATCTTCTCTTCTTCTGTCCTGTCTTTTCCAATTGTTAGTATTTTAGTTCATTTCAAAGTAGTTTTTTCTGTGAAACGCGAATCGTTTAAATTACCGTATACATTTCAAATGTTCTGCAATTGTTGAAAATTCGCCCAAATTTTATTTTTTCCGTATACCTGCTTTACTGTACTTGAAACACACATTTTTGATACTCAACAGAATTCTGAAATAAAATTTGTCTCAATGGGAATGGATAGAATTTGTGGATGTCGATTAATTAAGTATTCTTCTTGAGCCAAGCGTACACTTCATCGTAGACAATGAGCATGACAGCTCCTCCAGGGCCAAGTCTCATCACTTTTGGGAGGAGTCCTTTGTAGAGAGCACCAAATCTGAAAAATGTTGTTGGAAAATTTGGAAAAGATTCTTTTTTCAGAAATCGAACTCAATAAAATATAGACACTACTAGCAGCAAAATTTCAATTTTTTGGATTAAACGAATTGCAGTAAAGTTTTAAGTCACTAATAATCTAGTTTTCCGACGACGCGCGTTGTAGCAAAACAGTTACAGTCAGAGGCATCATTCGATCAACTTCGAAGGCTTTAATTTTACAGAATTAATGGGTGCTTGATACTGTATTTCAAAATTATTGTATTTTTCCTCTCTTTTCTATTTGATAAGGAATCTAATCAAAGATTGATGAGAATCAGGCGAAAATTCACGAAAAAACGCGGGAAAGTAGGAAAAATAGGCAAACATAGAAAATTTTCGAGATACGGTATCAAAGGGTCATGCATTTATTCAGAAAAATTAGTTTCCGCTATATGTCCAACGATGCTTTTCATACTGAATTTTTGCGGGTAATGCGCATCGCAGTCAGACTAGAGTAATACTGAGCACACTTCTGCAAAAAAACTAAAACTGGAATTTTACATTTAGAGGTATTTCATCATTCGGATGTTATAACTTCTATAGTTTTTCGCTTGGATTTTGATTGGATTAATTATTTCAGATGTTTCTTTTTTCCTTTTTTAGAGAAATTTTGACAGAACTTCTAGTACATGTTATTTCACAAGAATCAAGTAATAATTACCCTTCTTCCTTGTACACCAGTGAAATGGTTTGCAAAGTTCCGCTATACTTTCTCGACAACGGATCAGGTTGTGGTCCTTGAATTCTACTTTTGGCCACGTCGAATGGAATGTTGAAAACAGATGCAGAGATCCGGCGGTGAATCCTAATGCAATTCGTCCAATCAGATTTGCTGATGGGTTTTGCTGTAAATTCGTCTTTATAAGTTTTTGTTCGATGTGGAGATTTCAAACTTTTGCATCCGGAATGATTTCTTTGCAACTGTGGTAGAGACCAAAGTAGACCATATTCCAAGCACCATGTCTGCCAAGAGTAGCTCCCAGTCCGCGGTAGAGACCACTGGTTCCGAACCCTTCCGTTTTATAGATTTCCCTAGCCATTGCCGCCGTGGATCTTTGCTGGAACACCGAAGATTAATTATTTGTATCCTTATTCCTTTCCTCAGTTTTCTTTTTTTCCATTCCCGTAGATATGTTCAAGAACAAATGCTCGAAAATCAAAGTTTACCTCTTTGACGCTTGATTTCCTGTCTGCTTGCAGTCTCACTTTTACCACCTCGAATGGACAGATAACAATGGCCTCGGTGAGTCCCGAAAAGAGTCCGGCAAATGACATCGTCTGAAAAAAAAACAAGAGAGAGTCATATTCCATGTCATAAGTCCCTGCCAGCAGATAATACTGTTTCAATGCCGAGAAACTGCTACGATAAGAGAAGCTCACACTCGATAAAAAAAATGGCTTAGCGGAGGTCTTGTCACTGTGTTTTGAAACAGCAAAGAACAGTTAAGAGCACTTTCTCTGTATCAAACCAGATCATAATCTACCGTATGCTTTTTCCTGTATCCGAAAATCTGTTTACGGAAAAAAAGAAAACTTTGATGATATGATAAGACGGGGCAAATCTCAACACGGTTCGATGTGGAAGATCTCAATTTTCTTTTATTTTTACTTTCTTAATGAAAATAGACACAAAGGAAAGTTCAAAAGTTCAAACTCACCACTGGCATGGGAATTTCAGAGTGTGTGAAAGCGATTTTGTACTGCTCAAAGGTAAAGAACTTGGTTGCTCTTTTTGGAGTTTCCGCAAGAATTGGTGGAAGGATACCCTAGAAAACAAGGTTTTTTTGGTATCGAAAAGTTGTAGATTACCTTATAGAATCCACCAATTCCCTCATTTTTCAGTGTCTTCACCACACAATCCATCATTCCCTTGTCTTGTTGTCCCAATTGAAGACGGGTCTTTATAACATCCAATGGGTACATAAGACATACTTCGACGAGCCCTGAAAAAATTAGATTGGATAAATTACGTTTTAATCTCATGAACCATATCTAAAAACCAAAAATTGATGGTCCCACTGACAGATATGTGGTTGTTTGTTTAGTAGAAAATTTTTACCAGTTAAGATTTTTTCAGATTTCTTTTAACTATGTTCTGTCAGAGGGTCCCTTAAAAACTAGAATAACTATGCATGTTTTGCTATTCTCGGGTTTTTTCACTGCTCAGTCATGACGTTTTCTCCCCGGATGTTCGTATGTTTTTGTTTTAGAGTTTAGAATGATCCTAATTTTCTATGTTCGTCTATTTCCGTTCCTCTTGGTCGCAATACTTGCAAAAACAACTGGACCAAACAATTGTGATCTACAGAATAAAATTTGGTTTTATCATAATGTGAACATCACGCGGCTAAAATTTTCGAATAATTTCTTCCATGCCGTACAGTCGCGATGTTTATAGATTGACCCCATTTTCTGTTCCCGGACGCCTTAAAGTCTATGAAAATTGTCTTATTTATCAATCGGTCTAATTGAAAAAGTGGTCTTTGGAGGCTTAAATCAATTCGTTAATGTTTTGAAACTGTGGAAAATACCTATTTTTCAAAAACCGTCCATTGTTATAGCTCTATGACGTGACCTCTCAATTAATCTACGATTTTCTAATCTAATGTATCAAACCGTCTTAACAAAAGCTGAGGTTACTTGCTGTAACAATCACTCAAGAACACGCAAAACTAGTGTACTCAAGAATTCTAACGTAATTCGTTCGTTATGAAGGTGATAAAAACGACACCCCGTATTTCGTGTGACGAGAGACATTTGTTGTTTCATCGTTATTCTTTATTTCGGATTGACCCCACAAACACAAGCACGTATCTGTTGCTCTTACCTGCGGACCCGCCAGCTGTGATTTGTCTGCCGCCCTCTTTCAATTTGTCGGTCACACTCATAGTGTTGCTGTAATGAAGTGGATAAATAGAAACGGAACATAGAAAATTGCATAGAAATTCCGAGAAAGATTTTTGAAATAGTGGAATGAAGCTGTTCGTTTAGAACAGGAGATGCCACAAAAAATTTGATTTTTCCAAGAAGAAATCACGAGTAACTGAAGTTAAGGAGACAGTTGATTTTCAGGAACATTGAACTTTCAAAAACATCTGAGAAACGTTGTACCTTCAAAAAGAATCTAAAATAAGACTCAGAAAAGTCTCAGAAAAAATTTTTTTGCGAAAAATCGATAAATTGGAAACGTCAAGACTGTCGAGAAAGAAAGGAGGAATGCAACATCTGCGAGGCACACGCACGGTCCTATCTCTTCTTTGCATCGCATGAGAGCGCATCACCTTCTGTTGTGTTCAATCAAAAACAGTCAATATAAAAGAGAAAAGAAAAAAGATAGAAAACTGATAACTGTTCAATGATACTGCAAGTTTGGAAGGAGAGAAAAAAATGTAAATGAGGGTGATTTTTGGCAGTGACAGGCATAAAGAAAAACATTTTTTGGAAATCCCTTCTTCTCAATTTGAAGATAATTCAAAAATGCGGTAACCTGTGTCCCTCTTGAAAGCCCACATTTTATACAATGTTGTTTTATATTATTTTTTGATACAAACATTTTTTTTTTCTAAAAAAAGATTGAAGAACTCCGAAAATAACCGGAAAAAGTGACCAAACACTATAAAATTCCGTTGTAAACATCATCAAAATGCAATGAAACAGCAAAAATGAAATAGATTGGTCCCCAGTATGAAAACACGTGGAAAACAAAATACAACACATTGACGATGAGTCTTTTGGCCACGTGAGCTGAGGTTTTCAAAACATCGCCTCGAGAAAAATTATCTCCACGAAATCTGCAAAATGAGAATCAAGTATAAAATTTCATGATGATTGTTGTGTGTTGGATAGATGTAAACATTCCATGATTTTGAATCAAAAACAAAACATTACTCCGCAAGATATTTATCTTCTGTCTACGTAAACTATCTCCTGCCTTCCTATTTCACATGTTCTTCGTTCGTTCGGTCCACTTGGTTTCTGATTCACCAGATATAATTTCTCGGACTAATTTCTCGCACAACATTCATGTCAGACAAGGAAAGTGCTAGATGATGAGTTCTTATCAGTACGAACCCCTCTCCTTCCTTTTTTTGTGAAGCAATTGCCCAGGTGTCATCCCTCTTCTCAGTTCGTGGGCCCAACAAAAGGGTAAACTTGTGTAACATGACTGACATTGATTCGAGAACAAAGAATAGAAGCTTTCTCTCTCAATTGCCATTTGAGGAATTGGTACCAGGAAATGGAAATTAGCCGTAAGGCGAAGGCAGTACAATAGATTCGCAACCCGATTACACTTTTGAAATGTTTTGTGTATTTCGAGAAGAAGTGGCCAACAAAAGAAAGAAGGAAGATAATTTTTTTTCGAAAAATTCTTATCAGTTGTTTGTTTCATATGTTTTCGAATATAAAACAGCAACATCTTACTCTATGTAGCTTATACAATAATCATGATCATTATCAGATGCTTTTAATCAACAATTTATTATTAACGATCGTATTTTTAGTGTCTCATTTTTCTCCAGATTTCAAAAAATGGCTTTCTCATGCAATTTATAAAAAGAAGACTTTTTTGTTTCAGATGAATTAACGACAAGATAAAAAAATGAGATGGAAAAAAAATGGTTGGGATAGGTTGAGAATAAAAGGAATCACTAAAAAAGGGTAAGTTGTGCGTGTGTGCGTGTGCGTTTGGGGGTTCATTGAGAAACAGATGATTTTAATCAGAAAATGGAGTCTACACGGAACTAGATAGATAAGGGAAGTTTGTTTGTGTCTGTGCTTTTCTGGGTGTTAATTTGTGAGACGACGTATAAAATAGGATTCGAAAATGTACTTGGTATATGCAGATACAGGTTTCATTTTGGCTCGAAAATTGAAATTCGGAACACAAATTGAAAAAGGTTTGGTTGACAAAATAGGGTTTTGCGACCCGCAAATTTGCAATGCGTCTGCCGCAAGACGAGATCGGATGGTTTTTCTGGAGTAGAATAGTGGGTGGGTGGCGGTGATGGTGGATGATCAGAAATATGACGAGCATGTTTTCGGGGAGTGGGAAACAATGAGAAACGGGAAGTAGGAAAAAACATGGAATGGAACCTTTTTTGGGGTGGGAAGAGAAATGGGAATGACTCTTTGATCACAAGTTATGACATTTTTTTGAAGAGAGCGAGATGGTAGCTAGAAGACGTTGAAGAAGAAAAGGAAGATGGTAGATGGTGGATTGTTTGAATAATTCCAGTGTGGCCTCTAGTTCCGCGTGAAAAGGCATTGAATTGGCGAGAAGTAGCAGTTGCGTGGATACGACTTCTTTTCCGACGCTCGACGCACACGATCAGTAAGTTCCATTCGGTCCTGTCGAGAGAGCTCTCGTTTAGCGAGCACACGTTCCGCCAAGTCGCGCTCGACGAATTCCCGTTCCAAGTCGCTGGAAATATACACGGATTAGATTTTGATTGATGGAAATCGGATATCTAGTTAGACTCTTTAATATGGCATATTAGGTTTGTACTTTTTGGTCTTTAAGTCACCACTACTGTTCTTGATTTGTCTGGAAAATGAAATAAACTGAATGGGAATAGGAGAAAAAAGTAATTAACGAATTCTGTGTGCTCTTAACTAATTCAGGATTCCAGTGATTCCTATTTTAGTCGCATTTTAAAACTCAATTTGAAAACAATCTGCACAATTGGAATCCCCCGACTTTTGAACTCCCTTTAAAAGTACAAACTACAGGATTAGAATTCTGTATTTTCAAAATCTGATGATCAAACTCACTTCAGAAGTGCCTCGTAGATGGCCCGATCGTAGCGTTGGGCTTGCATAACAGTGGCGAGGGCGACAAGAGTGACGAACAAGAAAGTGAGTACCCTCATGTTGAGATATTTGACACTGAAACAAAAAAGTGTTTTGAAAAGGGCCTTTCAAATGAATGGAGGTCATAAAATTGAGAAGCGGTGGCGGTAAGAAGAGCACTACTCAATGAACAAACAAATAATGACGAATTGAGGGGGATGTGCAGAAAAGAGGGATGTGTATTAAAGAAATGACCGTGTAGGTCGAAAATGAAGTGGAGGACTAACTTTATGACGTGGCACACGATCTTTTCACCTCTCCCAATTTAAAGCATCGCGGCGCCATCACCCCTTGGCCGCCGCTCCCGTCTGCGAGAAGCAGTGGATGAATGAGAAGGGGAGGCGCCCAAAAGAGAAGACGTCTATGGTCTCCATCTCGGTGGGCGGAGTAAAGGGATGGGAGGAAAAAAAAAGAAAATAAGAGGTAGTTGTGTGATTGTAACATTGACGAGGGAAAGGGAAAAGAACCGGGAAACCCCCTTTCTTGGTTTTTTTTCGTGTTGGTGAAGAATGACAGTATCAGTGATTTTTTAACCGAATGAATGAGAAGACACTCAATCACAGGCGAGAACATTTTTTTATTTCTCCTCCTCCCTATTTCATCGCCAAGTTGAAGATAGATGAGCTGATTTGAGGGATGGTAGAGCTTATAAAACGCAATGGCCAGCCAACACTGCTCTGATAGCGACGAAAACGTTAGACTTTGCCCTGGAAATTCGGAGAGCATTTAGACTTCTCTCTTATCAGTAGCATAGAATAACACCTCTTGTTGGAGTTCAAAAAAACCAGAAAACCTCTGTCTCCTTGTGAGGTACTCAAAAAAAAATGGAAATGCTTGCTCGAAAACCTAATAACGACACGTCAAAAATCGCTTTGAGTTTGCGCAGGTGCAATAATTTAATGAAACAATGCTGACAGTGAAATCTAGTTGAGACTGAAAAAACCAAAAGTTCTAAGGACAAAAAAACCATGTTTTCTTTTTCTTCCTACGTTTTTTTTTGTTTTTGATTGATTTCCGAGTGAGTTCGTGAGACAATCATGTTAGTGTACAACTCTTTTTTCTCATTTCTCATATTATGATAAGTGACATCATTTATTTTCCACATTCGGAACCGATTGATAGGGATTATCCGATATTCAGTAAGTGTTAATTATTACTTAAAACCGTATATGCGTCTACTCATCACTATGAAATAGAACCGGAAAAGATGGGATCATCTTTTGAGAAATCATTAAACAGGAAAAAGGAACAGATGTTCGAGAGCGTGTTTTGTGGATTTCGCATATGGAAAAGTTTTGTTTTGAGTTTTAAGGCGACTATGATATAGAAAAATATCGAATAATACATCACTACTCAACCATTTTTATGCGCGTGGATTTTCGCAACACTTTTTTTGAGATATTCGAAAAACAGCAAAACAACTTTTGAAAAAAGAACACATTTGATTTTAAAATTCTGATCTTCCACCAGTGACGATGATGTTGATATTTTTCGAAAAAAGAAGAGTTCTACTATTCGAAATCTGTGGAGCACACGTTTTACCGTAATCTCTAGAACGAGGAGGTCATCCTAAACCGAAGCCGTCTCACATGATTGTTCTTGTACTTGTTTTTGATGAAACGCAACAAAGTTAAAGAACCAAAAACCTTTAAGATTATCCTACTCCCATTTTTGCTTTAGTATTTCTCTAAAAAAAATAATTAGGAACCAAAACTCTTCAATAGAGAAAAAACCTCTGACGTTGAAGAAAAATAGCTTGTGTTCTTCATGTTCAGAGTATTTATGGAATAATTATTATGAGAATAGTGAGGAGCAAAAGATCCTCGAAGTCTACTAATAAATGAGCAAAACGTGATCGTAATAAACGAGAAACCAAGAACTTAGACATGCTTAGTGCCCCCGGAAGTTATCGTGTAGAGCATAAAAGCTCAAAAGAAACGCGATGATGTTGGATGGAAGAAAATGGAATGTGGGAGAAAAACGAAGAAAAAGAAGCAGAAGGCTGAAAAAGTCGCGGATGGAATGGAGCACTCTTAATTCCATTCGTTTTTTTTTTGAGCTCAAGTAGATGAGCGGAGACAAGGAATAGAGATCGAAGGACTACCATGCTTCAATGAACTTCTCAGACGGCACACATCTAATGTGTGTTTCTATTTAGATATCTTGAAAGACCTTTATATAATTAATTCTTTTTCCGTTTCGCCAAAAAAAACGACTCCTCCCATTTTTTTTCTCTTTCTTACGAAATGGAATTTTCGGAATTTCGAATCTAACCTAAAATTTTTGGAATTTCAAAATTCCTTCTACACAGTGTTCTTCGTAGACAAAAATAGATATTAAAAATTACACTTGAGACTGCCACCGTAAAGGATATCATATCCAGTTACCACTTAAAAGGTGGCAAATTGCAAAAAGTCACATATATACTAGTATTGAATGTCTCTGAGGGAGTTTGATATCTTGCTCCTGGTACGACCACCTATGCTCAAATTTGAATAAAAAAGGAAGTAGGACGTTGGTGCAAATTTATAGAAAAATGAATGCAAATTACAAAAACAGTAATCATTTCTAGTGTTATACTCTTCTAGACTTAATTGCAGCTTTCTGAGTATACGGTAACTATCTGTTCTGATGTCATAATCTGTTTTTTTAGACAAGCTCAATTGATATCATAGTCTTGCGTTTTTCTGACATAAATACCTGATGTGTCAGTTTTGATTGCGGGGACTTGTTTACAAAAATGAGTGGGTGAAATTCAGCTGGATATGTAAATGCTCACTGTCAGTTGGAACCTGCATTTCTAACAGGAACACAGGCATTTTCAAATTTTATCCGGAAGTATTTGCTAGGATGGACAAAAAATCTCGGCTCGCTCAAGGAAATGAAAATTGGAGAATGAATAAAAAAGAGGCGAAAACAATAAGATTGGTGGTTTTGCGCCCATTCCAATCCACTTTTATACAAAATCAAATGTCCTCTTTTATCGCATTGTTTCAAGGCCCCACTAGAACATAATTCGATTTACTGCGACTATCGAAAATGAAACGTCAAGCTCCGCCTACATTTTCAACTGAATTACCCCTCTACTGTTTCGTCAACGGCTGAAAACAACGGAGATGAATGGGATGCCAGCAACAAATGAGTCAAAAAATAAAGATGTGTGACGCAATACAAGGTTTACTCTCCGTGGAATTGTTCCTATTATAGTATTGAGTAATCATGTGAGGAGGACACCCCAGGAAAAATACCCCAGCGTTAGTGAGTAGGAGATAAACCTAATAATAATGTTGGAGGTCTTTGGAAAATGTTAAAATTGGAGCTACGTAAAAAGGATTGCAAGGTTGGAAACTACAATTTGAATATACATAAAACTGGATATAGATTCAAGAGCGTCGGTTTTAGAATAATGCTTAAAAATTTGTTTTCTGAAGCTACAGTTTAATATTTGTTTAAAATATTGTTATTCTTTGCCAAGATTTTACTAGGATTGTGTGGTAGATTTAATTCAGTTATTTTTCCAAAATCTGTGCACGAGTTTCTGCCTCCTGTTTGGCTAAGATGATTTAGGGCATTGGCTCGTCCTGGATCTGTTTTATCACAAAAAAGATTCATATGTAAACAATCAATGTTACCTTAGTTTCTGGGAGCCGCTTCAAAGTTTTGTCTGCAATCCAAAATCTAATTTTTATACGGTATGGTATCTTTTTAAACAAATAAAACACTTTTTAAAAACTTTTTTCCTGAATTAAAACTGAAGATCATACTTTATTTACCTGTTCAACAGTTTTTCAAAATTTATTTTAATGTTTTTCAAAACAAAGATCTCTTGGTCAATCATGGATTTTCTCACAAAACTAAGATGAGATGAGACTTACCATTTTTTCATTTTCAACTGTCGCAACTAGAGATAATCTAAATCGCAAAACCCCTAGAATTATCAGATTAGACAGAACAAAAATATATAGCAAAAAAAAAGGATTCTAGAATCTCAAGGTCTAAGAACGAGAAGAACCAAAAGGCTCATGAAGACGTCGGGCAAAAACTTCAAATATAATGTTTGGGGGTCGCCCCTCCCTATTACGAAACCTTTTGAGACAACATCCTCGTTTCCAAAACTTGTCAACATTCTAAGAAGCGGAAGACTAGAAGATTAAAACGGGAGTAAAGAGGACACACGACGAAACACATCGTCTAGGGTGTTCTCTAAATGAAACGAGTTTTGAAGTAGAGTGCTCTTCTCATTTTCTCTATATTTAGTACATTTTCTCTATATCTAGACAAAAAAGACCAAATGAGAGGCAGACCAGAAATTAAAGTGAAGTGAATAAAAAAATTATAGTCCAACTTGGGGGTAACACACATGCCAATTTATATACTAATATCTAATATTTGGACGCCACGGCAGCTGAAACTTATTCTCTTCTCTCCCCTTCTCCCTCTTGCCGTTTTCCTTGATCCTATTAAAAAATGTACGTCATTTTCAGCATTTTACACCTACTATTCCTACGTGCGAAATTAGAGCAAATGTGTTCCGGAGGCACGGCGAAGAATGAGATGAAGATCTATTCCAGAGCCATCCATCTATTCTGTTATTTTTTTTCATAATTGTTCTGAATCTTACAATGAGGCAAGTTTGGTCCTAGTCATTGTTGTAAATAACACTTGCCAGACCTCATCGGGCGAAATAATGGTGAAGGCACAAACAAGCGCCATTTTTACTTTTTCCTCCACGGTGACACGCAAAAATATTTTTTACTCGAGTCCTTCACTAAACGTTCCATTTTGAGGCTATACTAAAAATTAGACTACAAAATCACTGATTTCGCTATTGCATTTTCTTGATATCTTTGGTAAATATAATAAAACAGCAGCCGGTGTTCTTTTTTGGAGCTTTTGCATCAGCTGTTTGTGTTCTCCGAGCTTGGTCGGGGAAACAGGGAAATCAGAGAAACATGACGTTTTAGGGGTGATGGTCATCATCGGAAGAAAAAAACACGGTTACACACACAAACATTGGTGA